TTATGTTTCATCACGTCCGGTGTTGTATTCATTGCGTTGTAATATTACTTTATTGTCAATCATTTTACTCAGCTCTTCTTTATTTAACTTAGCAATATTTATTCCCACTTTTTTTTTAAATAGGCCCGGCGGTGCACTTGCATTGCCGCAGTGCACCGCCTGGCAGGGTCGCCATGTAAGGACGAGGGAAATGAAACACTTGAGTGTTGACGTAAGACTGTCTGTAATTACGTTATTGTTAAGTTTATATATTAAATGATACCCAAACATACGTATATATATTAGGTAGATACTACAATGCGTCAGCCCAGGCCTGGTAGCACTCCTGCTTATAGCGTGATGCTATTTTACAGGAGCGACCAAACCATGGCTGGGTTCTGCCTCCGATGGGCACCACAGAGGATGGAATAAAAAGTTCCATACCCTGAAGTGCCACATCAGCAACAGAATCGGCAACAACGCTGGGATCTTCCGGCGAGAAGCAAACGCGCCCCCAAGGGTGGGATGTAAAAAAAGATCGCATCCCGTCCCAATCGGCCGACCTATAGTGCCAAACACGACGGCACGCTGCAGATCGCAACTGCGATGGGAGCGTGAGTGGCACTGTATTCCGGATCAGGCAATGATCCGAATAGCCCAGAGGGGCATCGACGGAGACCTGATATCCGTCCGGATGAGAGGTCAGCAGAAGGTCCAACAGGGAAGGTACATGATCCTCCACATCTGGGATCCGCGTAGGCGAAGTAACCAGTTGTGTTAGACCATATGCCAAGGCAAAGTCATAGACAGATCTACCCGCATGATCGGTTAAACGAGAACCAAGCCATTCAGCGTGGTGGGCGTTAAAATCACCGAGTATCACGATCTCTGCGGATGGGACCTGTTGTAGCACGGATTCTGCAGCCATTTGGACGTGGTCGATGAGTCGGTCTGTGTCGGCATTACCGCTATGGGACCTATAGAGGCACCCGTAGACGCGGGGATGGTCGTCGCTGTCTACGCGCAGCCATAGGATGGACAGGTCCGTACCTACAAGACTGCCGAGGCGTCGAAAACAGATGCCCTCTCTGACGTATACGCAAACTCCAGTCCGGGGCACAAAGGAGTGTTCAAATTTGTACCCCGGGTAGAAGAGATATGAAGTATCAGCCGGAGAGGACACCTGAGTCTCGGTTAAAAAGATCAAGGCCGGCTTCGCCGTCTCTAGATGGTAATGGACAGCGTTAAGGTTGGAATGAAGTCCCCTGATATTGCAAAATTGACGGATAGCGTGAAAGGGGTCGCCTTGGTCTTATTTTTTGAGGGAATCTTCAAGGGTGCTGGTACCCTCCTGGGGTAGTCTTCTGTTCAATTCCACTACCATGCTGATGGGGGGAAGGGGAATTGGGCCTCCGGCCACCTGCACTCACCAAGCGGAACGCAGAGGTAAACCTCTACTTCACGCTGGTTTTCTGTGAGGTCGTGGTACCACCCCGGTTCGAGCCGGCCCATCCGTGCGACAGCAAAAGCTGCCGCGTGGCTCTACCACTGTTAACCTGTTACCACGTCACCGCGCTTTGTCCGGCTGGCCGAATTTTGACGATAACATCGCATGGGAGAAAGCGGACATTTAGTCTTTATTATCTAAGCCATTTTTAAAGATGGAAAAAAAAACAGTATTTTTTTGGAATTTTCTCTAGTTTTGTAACAAACACATCACAATAATCGTGTTAGCATTGTCAATTATTTGCCAGTAACTCCATTATGTTTATGAGTTTATGGAGTTAGGATAGTCTAAGAATGCAGTAATTTTGTCTGATGGTAAAGTTGCGAAAGTGTTGTCTACGTACCGCTTGTAGAATCTCCGATTTCCAGGTGAAGTAATAAGGGCTTTCTCCTACTTCATGAATATGTCGGTGTCAATGGGAGATACAGGCGAGCCCATCGCCACACCATCTACTTGCCTGTAGAACTTGTCCTTCCACAATAAATAGCCAGTTGTGAATACTGCATATTCTGCGGCCATGTTGTTTTCTTTTAGCTTCCTTGTCACAATTGAGATGCAGTCTTCAATAAGTAGGCTACATGCCAATAGTGACTGGACATCAAAACTGACCATAGTTTCATAGTCAGCAAGATATATGTCTTTTATCTTTATGACAAAATAGGAGGACACACAAAGGATTCATAGATCCTTTGTGTGTCCTCTCAGCGGTGACAGTATTTATGACAAGTGTTGAGCCAATTTATAAGTTGGTGGACGCTCCACGCGTTTGATTGGTGAACTTTTTTGGTAACTAATATAACTTCAGTGGTTCAGCACATGGTGGTACTATCGAGTTCACGTCAAAATTTAATTTTTCGGAGTACTTCTTTATGAGATTGTTATTAGTTTTAAGCGTAATTGTAGTAGCGGTTTTGACATTTTTATACACACTTTCCTGCGATAAATTTGTCATTGTTGTCTTTAAAATCATAATCTGACGTATTCTTAACTACCGTAGCATTTCCTTTACTTTACGCGGAGAACGCGCTCCAGTCTGTTGCGTAAGTTGTTCGATGCTTTAAATTCGTCTTTGGGGAGATTTAGTTTCGGCACTGAACTTAACGTAACAACGACGAAATGTCTTAACGTATAGCCTCCAAATATTCCATTCCAATATTGTTTTTAAACAGGCTTCTTCTTCTTAATAACTGGCGTCACGGCTCTGGGATCTAGCCCTTCTGAGCCTGAAGTTACGAGGGTGGATTGAAAAGTACTCGGCCTAACACAGATCCATTCAATTCTAAAAATCAAATCTACCCACATTATTTAGTTCAGTTCAGACTAGTTCATTGTGTGAAGTTCGAAACGTGTGCGATAATTAGTTGTGATTTTATAAATTTATTAACAAAGTAATCGGACATAATTTCCGCGAATGGAGCAAATCGAGCAGCGTGCCGTCATCAAGTATCTCCATAAGAAGGGGCTATCATCAAAAGCCATCCATGATGACATGGTCAGTACATTAGGCGATTGTGCTCTGTCATATTCATCCGTCAAAAAATGGATAGCAGAATTTAAGCGTGGTAGAGAGAGTGTGAAAGATGAACCCCGCTCTGGAAGGCCTTCGACGTCAACTACTGACGAAAATATTAAAAAAGTACTTCATTTAATAATGGGAGACCGCAGATTAAAAATTAGAGAGATAGCCGAGATTATAGGCATCTCTTATGAATGAACTCAAAACATCATTGTCAACGAGTTGGGTTTCCACAAGGTGTCTGCGAGGTGGGTTCCGCGACTGCTTTCAGTTGAACAAAAAAGGACGCGATTGACTATTTCACGCGACTGTTTGGAGTTATTTGAAGCCGATGCAGATGATTTTTTGAATCGTTTTGTTACTATGTTTGTTCATTACTGTACACCAGAAACAAAACAACAATCAAAACAGTGGAGAAGACCTGGTTCACCACCCCCTAAAAAGGCTAAGTCGATTTTGTCGGCAAATAAGGTGATGGCTTCAGTATTCTGGGACTCGAAAGGTGTGATTATGATTGATTATCTTGAAAGGGGTCAGAATATAAACTCTGATTACTACTGCACCTTACTACGTCGTTTACGAGAGGAAATAAAAGAAAAACGTCGAGGAATGCTCAGAAGAAAAGTCCTGTTTCATCAAGATAACGCCCGTGTTCACACGTCAGTACAGTCAATGGCTGAAATTCACAACTGTGGCTTTGAACTGTTACCGCATCCGCCGTATTCACCTGATCTGGCACCATCAGACTTCTTTCTGTTCCCTAACCTAAAAAAGCACTTGGGAGGTCAAAGATTTTCGACAAACGACGAGGTCAAAGCAGCTGTAGACGCATATTTTGACTCTAAGGAAGAATCATTTTTTTTCAACGGTCTAAATGCTTGGAAGGGGAGGTGGCAAAAGTGTATTGAACTTGATGGTGATTATGTAGAAAAATAAAAATATAACTGATTTAGTATGTGTTTTTCTTGGTTAGGCCGAGTACTTTTCAATCCACCCTCGTACAATATATTATAATATCCCTCATAGTATACTGCTTCACAATATGTTGATGCGTCACATTGTGCAGCCCTTGGGAGATTTTGACGGCAACTTGAGCCAGCAGACAGCTGACGGTTGGCGATGGTATCTCAAGGCGCCTAAGCAGACAGACACCTTATTTTGAGAATCATATCACCATCAGAGCACTTGTTTCACAGTTTCCACTAATAGTTCACATGGCTAGACACTTAATACACAAAATCGCACCACTTTTACATATCAAAGTCCACTTCAAACCATTATTTAAACAATAATACATGAGCAGCAAACCGCCGCCGGTCAAATTCCCGCCAAAACTCTCCTTTTTAAACAGGCAATCCTCAACGCTACAGATAATTTCTTCGTAGAAGATTCTTCGTGGTGTTATCGCGAAATTCATTCCTTTCGATAATAATTTTACCGTTGGTTTGTCCAATGTTTATTTTGACAGATTAAAGACGTAATTTATTATTCGCGTCTGTGGGTCGTGCATAGATCGGATCAAAAACTCCCCTATCCCCCACCCTCCCGTGACCAAGAGTGCTGTAAATCACCAAAAATCGTTGGGAATTAAAGAGTTAAAATATTACATAGTAATAAAGTCAACATTAATTTAATACATACATTATATTATATTTTGCTAGGCTTTACCTCTACTTTCCATAAAAAAGAAATGGTAACAGATAATGGCTACACTTTCGCTACCAGCGATATTTCGATCAGTGCTGATGGTCTGAATAAATGCTGAGCACGTGGTAAATCAGTACTTAAAATTGCAATTGCATTGGCACCGGCGGGGATCGAACCCTGGATGTTCGCGTATTGTGAAATTTACTGAACTACCACGGCTCGTTTCAGTAGGCGAATTTAATTGAGTAAAAACAAGTTAACTATTTTGTTTTATGTGCTTATATGTTTATAAATACATATTTATAAAGTTTTCTACTAGGGTTAGTCAATATAATTTTAAACTTTCTACAGGTTGTAATTTAAGGATATCGTATACAAGAACAAAAGTAGCCAAAAAAGCGCTTTGGGACGAAAAGATAGATAACGTAACATTTTACCAGCACAGGCTCTATAATTTGACAGGAGCTCGCATTATACTGCTGCCAAAAGGTCTTGTTAGTAGAAGGTAAGGTAACAATTATGTTTGAAATTACTTTTTTGGATATGTATGATTATGTAATAGTTAATGGTCATGTGGTTAGCTGGCCATAGGATTTGACATTCTTTTGATGGTATTTAGATGGTTCATGAACACCTGCAACCAATTTCAAACAAGAATACTGAAGGTGCATTAACACCTCGAAGGAATTAGTTTTAATTCCTCCAAGGTTCGATCACCAACAGAAGTCGGACAGCACTGAAAGTAAAATATTAATTTTATCTTCAATAATATTATTTTTAATTGCTCTCGACTTTGATTTAATAGTTTGGTTAAGATGAAAGAATCGATGCTGATGCAAACAGTTATTTAATTTTAAAAAAAAAATCTTACAAAAACAACCTTTTATCTTTTCATTTTGAAACCGCTTTTAAATGAATAAATTACAAAATAACGCGCGATATTTTTTGTCTTAGGCTTAAGTAGGTATGTAGCCTATTATTTTTGTCTTAAGCCAGGTAACCTGATAACACTAATGGACAAAGCATTAGGTTTTAAGTTACAATCTAATCGGATAGAACCTCCGCAACGCATATTGCCGAACAAATTGGGTTAATGATGATACACTGGTGCGCCCAAATTTTTTGTTTTTTATCGGTCTGTTATTTATTTTTAATTGTTTCTTAGATACAAACTCCGAAACGCAATGTTAAACGAATTCTTTATTTCTTTTTATAACTTGATGCAAATCTATCCATTATTTTTATTTTTAACGGGAAACGTACTAGCATACCTTTTAATGATGTACGTTTTACAAACCGAAATTTATACACAAAAAAAAATTGTGTATCTATGTGTGCTATTTCTAATTTTTAGCATCCAGTTTTTCCTTCTGGTATGTTTTTTAAAGGTATTGAACAGATTAAAATTACATTTAGCGTAAAGAAAGTCTGTATAGTGTATATTCAATTTAGATTGAATTTTCTAAGAGTGGACAAACGAGCATGCGGCTCACTAATGGTTAGCTCAGCTACCGCCGCCCATGAACTACTAAACCGGAAAGTTGCTAAGTGGTATCCCATTTCACAAGGAAGTCGTGTAAGGAAGAAAACTCCTGCTAAATCGCACAGTGATGGACCGCCAAGCATCTCGATCTAGTGAATGGTATCGCGAATTTTATATGGTATGCATCACCTTAAAACGGCAAGGCCCCAGGCGAGGATGGAATTACAGCGGAGCTTCTGCTAGCGGGTGGAAAACCGGCACTTAAAGTCCTTCAGAAGCTCTTTAATTCCGGAGTAGTGCCAGCATGGAGGCATGGTGGCACTACTCCGGAGGCGTGGAGCATAAGTGCGGTGGTCTTGTTTTCAAGAAAGGCGACAACGCTCTCTTGAAGAACTACAGATCGATTTCGCTTCTGAGCCGCGTCGACTTGCTGTTTTCGAGAGTCATTACGAATTGTCTCGCACGCAGACTCGACGACTTCCAGCCTCCCGAACAAGCCGGTTTCCGCTTTAGCACTATATACCACATACATACCCTTCGGCAAATTGTACAGAAGACCGAAGAGTACAACCTGCCACTTTGTCTTGTATGTAGACTATGAGAAAGCCTTTGAATCCGTCGAAGTTTGGACGGTGCTGCAGTCGCTTCAACGGTGCCTAGTGGACTGTCGGTATATCGAAGTGCTGAAGTGTTTGCTATCCGAGTACAGAAAAAACTCTTCACCACTGCATTGGAAGACGTTTTCACGCTACTGGACTGGAAAGGATACGGTATCAACGTCAATGGCGTCGCCTTCGATTTGCCGACGATATATTTCTTATGACAGAATCGCTGGAGGTTCTAAGCACTATGCTCAATAACCTCAATAGTGTCTCCCAAGGGATTGGTCTTAAGATGAACATGGACATAACAAAACGTAATGACATGAACGTTTAACGTCCATGTCACCTATATGCCAGTAGTTGTTGGGAGCACTAAGCTCGAAGTTGTTGACGAATATGTTTACCTGGGACAAATATCGACAGATTCAACTCGGCTGGGCAGCGTTCGGGAAAGTACGACACATCTTCTCGTCAGGCATACTTCAAAACCTCAAAACTAGATTGTACTACCAGTGCGTGTTGCCAGTAGATCTGAGACGCGGTCCTTCACTGCTGGCCGTATGAGTGCTCAAAGTAGCTCAGCGAGTTATGGAGAGGGCTATGCTCGGCGTTTCTCTGCGTGATAGAGGATAATCGAGGATATCTGCAATAGAACCAGAGTAACCGACATAGCCCAAAGGATTAGTGATGATCAGAAGTGGCAAAGGGCCGGCCATATAGCTCGAAGAACCGACAACCGATGGGGAAGAAAGGTTCTCGAGTGGCGGCCTCGTACCGGCAGGCGAAGTGTAGGGCGTTTCTCCATTAGATGGCGACCTGGTAATACATGCAGGAAGTCAATGGATGCAGGTGGCTCGAGACCATGCTTTGTGGCATTCCTTGGGGGAGGACCATGTTCAGCAGTGGACTTGTGAAGGGATATAATGATGATGATGATAATATGAATAATTATTAGTGATAATGTATTGAAACTGTATTTATCCTTATAACCTAATTCATCCAAAATTCTTCAATTAGTTTGTTTTTTGATCATGCCATAGGTAGACTTAATGTTAGGTACATTATGTCAACTTTATATAATTTCGAAACTTCGTAAAATCGCGGCTTTAATGATGTAACCGAATGTACGTTTCTTTGATCTTGCCTTGCAAGAAATAACTCAATTTAAGTTCCAACGACAAGCCGTGACCTTGGTCGTTCCGCTCCACTTCTCTCACATTATCATACGAGGTATAACGCACTTAGTTTCGTAACGGATTATGTTAAGCGAAAAAAGCATAATAGTAGTCATTTTTTTTTATTAAGCGTCAGCTTAATTTCCTTAACATTAATTCAATACAATGTTCTTAATTATGTCCACTTATATTAAAAACTAGCGAACTGCCCTAGCTTCGCCTTGGCAGGATCTATACTTAGATGTCGCCTTATTAGTTAAGGCCCATAGCAATATATACCTTAACCTAAAAATATATATAAAATATAGACATAACTTAACACTATTTAGGGAACTTTTTTCTTTGGCGCGTCCCTGTATCGGCGAAACACTACCCCAGAGGGCCAGAAATCGGGAGCGAGGAATGTCTCTTTATGTTTTGCAGGAACCTGGAGTACGTAGGATTTGAAGTTCGTTGACCTATTAGACTCCAAACGCTGCAAATGTAAAGAGATCGGATCCTCAATGCGGCATCGGCTTCGTTCTTCCACGAAGCGCAGGACGTCTTCTCCCGACGTACTTTTGTCCAAACGGGAGATGTAGAGTTGTATGGTTGGCTCCACAGCACGCAGAGTTGTACTCGCGTTTATTTTCGCGGTCCCACGCTGGTTACAGACGGGTCGCGACCGACATCTCTTCTCAACAAGAGTAAACCCGTCCTTATCAATCTTGTCTTGGGTCACCACTGAAACTGATTTTATTTCCACATTCTTCCGCTTTCGACCACAAGAGGGTGCCGGTTGTAAAGATTTTCGGGCAACATCCGCAAACGTCTTCCCTTGTTTTGAGGTTGGCTTCGGCGGAGGTGTACCAATGGGTTCAGTCAAGGGTTAAGGTGGTGATGCAATGACGACCGAGGTCCCCCTAGTTTCTCAGTCATCAACCCGCTGACAATCAACGATCAATTATGTTATCAATTTTTCGTGTTTTCAAAAAAATCCCAGTTTTTAGGATACAACATAGCATAGACCTCTCCTGGCATTGAACTTTATTTGTCATTAGAATCGGTTCAGCCATTCCGAAGACAAGCCCGGACGGACAGATAGACAGACAGACAAAATTAATAAAAATGGTTATTTACTTACGTCTAGTTTTAGTTGGTCAGCGTCTACGTGTTTTTTTTAGGATTAGTTAGCTTACTACATTGAAATATCATACAGTAGGCAATTACCTAGTACAGTCATTTCCGTTATCATTATTAAGGTGCATCGCAGTTTCCATACATCGCACGTGTATCTATACACAACAGCGGAGGTCAATAACATTTAATACTATATACATTGTTTGATGGACCTGTTGTGGCCCATATGTGGCCTCTATCATCACTTAAGAATTAAACTGTAATTATGCGTTTGGTACTTATCACTCCAGAGGACTAAGTTAGGACGATTCGTTACCAGTAAAAAGTCTCCGGTTCTCTATACTCACCATACGGAAAACAGCAGCTAATTAATGATTTTTAATGACTGCCTAAAATTATATTGTAAGATTGTATACTATTTGTTTCTTTATTTTTCATAAATTAAAAGAATTGATGCTATTTCCGCAGTACATGCCTTATCTAAATTAATTTTTGTGTAGTGATAAGACTAGTGTTGCAACATTCCTTTGTTTTAAAAAATCACGTAAACAACTCGAGTCACCCGTACGTACTCAATTACAGGCTATCAAAAGTCCACTGTTGAACATAAATTTCCTTAAATGGGGGATCTTTTTGTCATAGTTGCTACTCTTGGGCAAGCTGGTTACCAACCGATTTTTTTTATTTTTACCCAGATGTTATCAGAATATATATTTTTATGATACCCACGCGATGATATAGGGTAGTGGATATTGGGGTATATTGTACATAATCAAATTTTATACGTGGTAGAGCCATGCTGCAGGTATATTAATAGTATAGTTGTAGCATGAATGGGTCGGCTCGACCGGGGAAGGACCACGCTCTCACAGAATACCAGCGTAAAATAGCAGCTTAATGCTGCTGTGTTTCGTATGGTGAGTGTAGAGAACCGGAGACCCTTTTTACTGGAAAAGAGGCATTCTATAGTCCTCACGGGTGACAACGCATCTGCATTTTAATTCGCAAACGAAGATAGATGTAGATGTCTATGGACCACAGCAACCACTTACCATCAGGTGGACTGTGTGCTCAATTTTTCGAACTTATTTTATAAAAAAAAATGTATTTGTGTAGCCTAAATTATTGTTTCGGGTTAATATTTGCCTATGATCAATATGTAAAACATCTCGGCGATATGATAAGTGAAATTTCTTCTTTAGTTTATTTATTCTATGGTTTAGTTTAAATAATCAAAAACTATTGCTTTATACTTAATTTTCTTGTGAGAATTAAATTGCGGGCCTGAGAATAATTTAACTATATTTTGATGTTTTATAATGATCTTTCGCTTCAATAGAATTTTATTTTATTTACTTATCTATTCTAATTTAACACTGTAATCATGGTATTTTTGGGATATTTATAGGAAGCTCATACTATTTTCCTTTATTTTTATCATTCAATAAATGTCTAGAGTATTTGACCTACATATTTGTCATGTCTTTGCATAAAGGCAGTGGAGCAAGAAATATCCAATCTGTATAATTCTAAACGAGGAGGAGAAGATTCAAGTGTTGGAGAAGGAAAACCCAATCACCGAAAAGAAAATAGCCGAAACAGAGAAGAAAACTAAAGAACAACAGCCCCTACATGAAACAGAGAGCGCTGAAACTAACACCAGTCCCGAGAAGAAGAAGAAATTCGTATGGAGAAGACGGGAGAAAAGGTATATCTATATTTCTTTACATAATTAAATTAAACAGGTCGTAGGACTCCTTTTCTGTACATGCATCCGTGTTGGTTAGTCAAGCAGCAATTCACCGTGGCTGTGTTGTGGTGTGAAGGGTAATAGAGCCAGTATTTTGACAAGTTGTGAGGCATTTTACCTGAGTCTTCATAGCTGTCTTTGACCATATTTATTTAAAGGTGGTTGCAGATGTTTGCATGATGCACTATCATATTTTTGTTGTGAAATTATATTAAAAACTTGGTTATGAGAAGAGAGTTAAGAGAAAACCCATACAGACTTAGGAGGCTGTATGGGTTTTCGGCCTAAAAGAAGTCCTGCCACCTCCACGAAAATGGGAAACCTCGGATTATTACGAGTAACTTGAGAGTGATAGTTGAAGATATAAGCGCCTTTAAATCGTAGCGTCGTTCTACACCAGTAAACCGGTACTAATGAAATTGTGAACTTGATGACCGGAGAAGAACATCTTGACGAAACACGCATGTTTAAAAATTAATAATAGTTGGGTAGAGGCTTCTATCCATCTGTGAAATGTATATAGATAAATCTGTTGTTTATTTTTTTTATTTAAGGCTATCGTTTCACTTTTTACGTACTTAGTAATAGTTCTAATCCATGGTTATTATCATAGAAAACTCTCACATGATCTAATTTTGCAGAGAGCAACAAAAACTAAACGCCCAAAATCGGAAATGACACTGAAATAATACAAATTAGTATTATTTCAGGGCTAATCCCTTTTGTTAACGTAATACTCGTAGTATCATCGAGATTACGCTGTGTTTCACCCCAATGCGATTTTTGTAGCGCTTCAAAGGTACGACTTTGTCACCTCAATTTCTTAGACACTACACAATGCCAAAAATCTTTATAATTTTTTTTAATTAAGATATGGCTACTGTCCCATGTCTCTGCCACAAATTCTTATGTAGTAAATGTATAAATAAAAAGTGCCATGTGCTGGCGGATTTGCTGTATGGTGACAGCATGTGAGATATATTAATTTTATGATATCGTCCTATTTCGTTCAGTGGTTGTCGTAAGTGGTAGTCTACTAAAAATGCCAGAAAATCATACGACTTCCGATGGAAGACTGCATACCATCTTGTTTGTGCCATACGTTAAATAGCCAAGCAGCCTGCAAAGCGCGACCATGGCTAGCAGTGATTTTATGCAGGCATACTGGATGGTAGACTGTTATCTATGGAAGATTTCTTTTTCATAGTCATCTCTTAAGACACCAACGGGACAAAATGTCACCGCCACCAGACGGCATAAATGGTGATATTAACATTCCTAACTCCGAACCCAAACCTCACAAACTCGTGGAACGGCATCATTAGTGCTAGATGAGCACGTATTATTACTGTACTTACCAACCCAGCTGTCCAGCAAGGTGAATGTGGGGAAATCTTTTAATTTATTCAAATCAATTGGCACACTCTTGAAAATGGCCTATAACTAGCAAAGGATTACAAAAGGCTGTTAAAGAAGATAAGTAAAATAACCGACGACAAATAAATGATTCAAGTAATATCTACTTATATACACCAAAGCCGTTTGTTGACCTTTGTTAAATAGTTAAAAAATCCAATTTTTAATTGAAATTTAATGAACAGTTTCCAATTAAAAGATCAATTTATTTTTATCTTTTCAGTAGGTTATATACAAAAATATTTTTCTGAGAAGACTATAATCTTACATAGGATATAAATTGGTAGTTTAATATTGCTAAAATATTCTAAGAGCAGGTTTATATATGATAATTCTTTTAAAATACACTAATTTTAATATGGGCGGTGTAAACTTGTTTTGCAGTAGTACATTTAATATCTTTTTAATACATAATATGTCAGTTAGCCAAACTTCTATAATTTGTATATTTAGTAATACCCGTAGCACGTCTATATATATATATATATATATATATATATATCTGTCTGTCTGTCTGTTTGTTCCGGCTAACCTCCGAAACAGCTGAACCGATTTTGATGGTAGTTTCACTGGTAGATAGCTCATGTTATAAGGAGTAACTTAGGCTCCTTATATTTTAGAAAAATAATTAGGGTTCCGCGCAACAGAATTAAAACCCTAAATTACACGCGGGCGAAGTCACGCGGATCAGCTAGTAGAATAATAAGAATTATAGCACAGAACAACCTTTTGTCCTCAGTCTGGTTGTAGTTTGAAAATTGTCATAGCTCATCGTAAGTCGAATTTTGTAGATTATTGCATTATGTGTAAAAATGTAGTTGAAAAAAAAGTAATATATAGTAATATAATAAAGCTTTCTTATTTTTTGTGTGTACCCTTGATTATACATAAAGTTGTCTCATGTTCTCTAAAATAGTATGATATATATTATAGATATTGTTGTTACGGATAACATTTATAGGGTAAAATCTATGCAATTCAGATTGTACGCAGAAATACTATCAAAAACGTACACGGTCTTCTGTTGGACTCGGTTCTTGTATACATAGGGGGGATTTGCTGTCAGAAAATTGTCCCTCCTGGCAAGCGACCGCAGTGCCACACGTCTAACACATATGTATGTATCAACGGTGCTTCACATCTCCGATATTTTATATTCGACGTATACAAGTGGTTATAACGCCATTAATTGGTGGTCATTAGATCTTACTGCCATTTCATATTGTTGACTCGTATGATTTTCCTGACTTAAGATGCGGTGGTATATTCTCTTCAGCGCCACCGCCGTGAGATATTTATAAAAGTATACTCGACTACGCTATTTTTGGTGCCTTACACAAAAATGTTATTATATTTCTTCCAAAAAAGTAAATCAATAATATAGCGTAGGATACAATATTTTTACATCACATTCAAGTCATAGCTCGGTCAGTCTACAGCCATAGATTCTCGGTCCCTTTCTGTGTGTAAGAAAGTTACAACACGGTATTAAAGATAAGGGTAGTCTCAATTTAAGTAAATCATAATGCAATTTGCGTTTTTTAACATTAATTTGCCAATACTTTAGCTTCGATTGCTAAACTATCTATAAAAATCATTGTGATCAATTGTTTTGTTTGTTAAACAGCATTTCACAAAGTGAAGTCGAACCCGAAAAAGAAGGTCTCCGACATAGGCTTGTACGAAAAATGCATCGAGGTAAATGTACTTATTTATTAATTTTTATTCAATACACGTGTCATTGATGTTTAAATAAAGATGTTTTATATCTTGTACAAAGTCTGTAATTGTTCGATAACTTGTTTGTTGACCTTTGGTGTAATAAAATATATATTATATATATATATATATATATATATATATATATATATATATATATATATAAGGTAAAGGCACTAATGCTCAACAGTGAACTAAAGGATGACACATTCGAAAAAAAACTCTTTTATTAAGAATATTTTTCTTGATATAACTTTACTACTGTTGTTAAAGTACGCCTAGTGCCATCTGTGACGCTTAGACAAAACCATTCATTCTAATTTTTAAGCAGAATTCAAAATGGCGTCAGTTGAAGTAAACTATGTCGCAAGTGAACGCGTGCTCTGTGATTTACTATCAAAAAATTTAAGGAGGCTGACATTTTACAGGTTTAATTTTGTTTATATTTGTAAGGTTTATCCTACTTTTTGTTTTGGTTATAAATTAATAAGATATTATTTACATAGTAAGACCTCACAGACTTCGTTTTTTGTTTATGTTTTGTAATTATTTAGACTGTCTACTATTAGTGTCAAAAATCAGTCAAAACCTAAAAGCAGACACGTGTGTCATCTATTGGGGTAATACGAATCTGAATTTCTAAGTGTCCGTTTGAACAACTAAAGACTCTATTTCCTATGAATAAAGTCCTGTCTAAATTTGAGTACTTTTTCTCTATCGTACCTAACAATATACAGGATGTCAACTATTAGAGTACAAGATGTCAACTATTAGAGTACAAGATGTCAACTATTAGAGTACAAGATGACAACTATTGGTGTCATCGTCAATTAGTTAGATGTCCTTTTGTTTCCAGATTTTATATTTGAACAAGATGCCGCCAATAAAAGGAAAGATGTTTTGTTATTCTGAAGCTGATATGGAAGCAGCTATAGAAGAATGCAGGCGAGGTGTTCCGACAGCTACTGCTGCCAAAAAATTTGGTGTACCGAGAGTAACCCTATTAAATAAAATAAAGGGAAAAACACCAATAAAACGTAAAATGGGAAGAAACTGTTATATGACCGAAGAAATAGAAAAGATGTTGGTAACGTGGGCAAAAGCTATGGTGAAACAAGGATTTCCAATAGGGAAAGACAATTTGCAGGATAGTGTTAAGAAAATAGTGGATGATTTAAATTTAGAAACCCCTTTTAAGAACGGTAGGCCTGGAAAGAGATGGTACAGTAGCTTTTTAAAACGTCATCCTGATCTTATTACAAGACACCCTCAAAATTTGACTACTTCCAGAGCTAGTGTGACAACATCTCAATTGAAGAACTGGTTCGAAGAGGTCAACATCTACTTAAACGATAACAACTACAGGGACATTTTGAACGAACCTCAAAGAATTTTTAATATGGATGAGACAGCTTTTTTCTTAAATCCTAAAGGTAATAAAGTGTTAGCACCTAAAGGAGAAAAATCAGTTTACCAGCAAATTAATGCGGATGAAAAAGAATGCTTTACTGTACTTCTAGGTGGGAATGCTACCGGCGATGTTCTACCTCCTATGGTCATTTTCAAATATGAGAGGATACCAAGAGAGTTAAGTTTGTCTGTTCCTGAAACTTGGAGTTTGGGACGTTCCGATAATGGCTGGATGACCAGAGAGACATTTTATGAGTACATCTGCAATATTTTTAACAAATGGTTGGATGATAATAACGTTCCAAGACCAGTGCTGCTTTTTATAGATGGTCATACTTCACATCTTTCTTTCCAAGTTAGTAAATTTTGTTCTGAAAATGGCATTATATTGATTGCTCTCTTTCCAAATGCGACACATTTACTGCAACCAATGGATGTTGCAGTTTTCAGAAGTCTTAAGGGAGCTTGGAAGACTGCAGTGCATTCTTGGCGGTTAGAAAATATTGATTCTCCCGCTTTACGAAAAATACATTTTTGTCCTTTGTTAAACAAGGTACTAAAGGATACACTGACACCTGCAATATTTCAGAATGGTTTCCGTAAGTGTGGACTTATGCCGTGGAATCCTGACGAAGTATGTTGTATCCCAGAACCACTGACTAACGATTTAGCAGATTTACAAGCCATGGCAAAAATTAAGGAACTTGAAATCGGAATAAATTTTTTAGATAAATATATAGATGCTGAAAAAATTTATCAGTTTAAAGGTTGCAATGAATGGTTAGGCGTAAAAGAAGACATATCATTGTTTCAATTCTACAAAAAGGTAGAAGAATTGTTAAATGAGAGCAAAAAAAACCTAACATCATCTACTACATTGACCAGTCAAGATCTCATTTCGGAACAAAGCAGCACGACTGCAATTAAAACTCTAGCTATGAATGACGAAAATCTTAATGTAACATTAGATATTATAACAGAAGACCCAAAAACTCCTAGCAAAGTCCCTGATGACAATATTTCTCGAAATACTCAGAATAACACGAACATAAACTCATTAACAATGCCTTCCACATCAAAACAACATATATCAGCAGAAAATTCCTCAAAAGATATGATTATACCTAGTCCATTTAAAAGGGCACTGTTTTGGCCAACACCTAAAGAAAACTGTAAAAAAAGGAAGAAAGAAAAAATACCCTCCGTTGCATCCTCCCTTCAATGGCAAAAATATCACGAAAGCAAAGAGAAGAAAAAGACAGAATTAGAAGAAGAGAAAAAAAGAAAAGCTGAAGAGAGGAAAATGAAGAAAAAACAGAACGAAGAGGCGCGGCAACTTAAAACTGCCCACAAATTAGCTAACAAAAACCTTAAGACTGTGAAGAAGAAAATTAATAACACTGAATATAGTAGTGACACGAGTACTGACACTGAATGGGTAGAATCTGGAGATAGTATGGATGACGTATCTGACGAGCACGAAAATGATGATGAGGAAAATGTATGGTTAGAGCAAGAAGAAGATATCAAGCAGAGTGATTACGTAATTGTTAATTTTCCCGGGAAAAAGAAATTTTACAAATATGTTTGCATTGTCCAAAAAGTCACACGGACAGATATTGAAGTTATGGCTATGATGTGTTGTGATCAATCTAAAACAGTATTTAAAGAAAACGATAAGGATATCAGCACTATCAGTAAATCTCAAATAGTTGAAGTCCTCCATCCACCTAAAATGATTATAACTGGTGATAGAATTAAGTATAAATTTGACGCGCCTTTGCAAGTTGATGGATAACACTCAATATGAAAATATTTATCTTAAATATTTTCTGATGATTTGGTATTTGATTAAACGCATACTTTAGTATGATATAAATGTGCAATTCTAATATGTCTACTATTAGTGCTTATTGATGTCTACTAATAGTGGTAAAAATGTCATCTTTTAGTTCCTATGCCAAAGTTTAAATAAATACAAATTGTAATATAAAGAATGTTGATTATTTAAGTTTTTATTATTAAAATTTGTTTTCGTAATGTTACTGTACTCAGCTAAAAAACTGTGACTGTTCTAGTTATATAAATATATTTGATTATGAAGTATAAAATTTGTGTATTCCTTAAAGTGTCGAGCATTAGTGCCTTTACCTTATATATATATATATATATATATAGAAAATGTGTACAAATATAATAAATTGAAAAATAAATTAAGTACTTAAAAATGCTATATAAAATATTGTTCCAAATATACGTTTTTTTATAGTAGGTAAAAAGAACACGATTGCTTAAAAAGATTAATTACTACTAGTTTAAGTTTTAATGGATGCACGTAGCGTAGGACCGTACTTTGTGGCATTACTTGGGGGTACCCTCTGTCCTCAGCGGTGGACGTGTGAAGGGCTGTAGTAATAATGATGATGAGATAAAAAACCTCAATATTCAAAATCTTACAGTTGGTAAAGATGTCGATCCACTAATGCACAAACAACAAAAGATATTTTCCCATTATAAATTTATTTTATAATAATTTACTTTTTCTGCGAGAAAGGTTTGCAGCCTTGTTTAAATAAGGATGTATTGAGTTCTTCAACACTTGTGTAAATATATATTATAGATACATAGCCGGCGCCATGCAGTATAAACACTTTAATATAATTATTTTCACAATATTTTATCTACAGATAAAAGATCAGACAGTATATCTACATCTGCTGATCCTGATGCACAAGTGCAGACGGATAAAACATCGCAGTCAGACGACTCACCAACAACAGAACATGAAATCGAGTTAGTCTCCAAATCTGCATGCAGTACAAAAGAGGAAGTGATTGAAGAAGAACTGGACGAGAGCGAGTTGTCGCGGATCAAGGAGTTTTTGGACGAAGCGGTATGTTTATTGAAGACAAGCTGCTTTTTAAATATAGATTAATAACTCTTTCATCATAGCTCGGAAATTAGAGGAGTCTGGAAGTTTGTTGAGTAAATTTTTAATCGACTTATTTGTCTTAGAAGTTCGTCTGTGTAATTACTAACTTTGAGTATGAATATACCATTGTGTTCCAGCCTCTTTTACATTGTAGTCACTTCGTTGTATGATCTTATGGCTACTTGCTTTTGCTGTATTATTTATTTCTATACGTATGTAACACAACATGATAGTATCTAGGTTTTGAGACCAAATTAGATAAAAGGTTTAGGCGTATATTCTCTCGTTATAAAATTCAATTTTTCGATGGAACTATTAAAAATACGTATTTTTAGGAATTTATATATAATATGTAAATAAAAAATAATAAGTTTCCATAAAACACCACTAGCAATTAAGCTGAATGTATTATCGAAATATTAAGTCTGACGTATGAAGCTTATATACATAAGACTTTAAACCTATCTAATATATTACGAGATAATGTGTACAGCAGAACCCTATCTTACGGGTGTCAACTCGCTCCTGGTCATTTTTAATTTGTACTTAAACCACAGAATAAATAACTTTTGAACTAACGATGTGCTCGTGCCGTATTCTGCATTAATTCTAAAGGCACCTTTTTATTATATTCTGGGCGCTATAGTTCTAATTGATAATCGGAAATTATGTTTATGATCGACAGCACCAGCATTAGCACCAGTATTAATTTATCGTAATATTATCTATGTGGTGGAGCCACCCGGCATCTATATTATTTATAACCTAGGTCCGTAGGATTCCCTTAGAGAAAAATTAAAGAAATAAATATATTAATTTTGGCCTCTCAATATATTTACGACGATTTAATGTACATATGTCCACAAAAACAAAAATAGTTTTATTAAAAAAAGCGATGTACATTCGGTAAATACTAGGAACAAGCACAAGTTAGTTATACCAGTTACTCAACTCCAAAGATATATATTCTTTTACAACTGTCTCAGAAAATATGCAGAACTTTTCTATCAAAAGGTTTAAATTATTTATTAAGCAAAAATTGTCTAGTAAAGATTATGTACTACTAAAGAGTACATGACTGATAATAACCCCTGGAATTGAGGTGATCACTACCATGCTGTTTCTAAATGTTTTCATAACAATTGTATAAAATATTATTTTATACAATTTTTTAAACCCAGGGAGACTTTTTTTTTAAAAAGAAAATCTGGCTGTGTTTCATACTGGTTCTTCCCAGCACAGAGGTTTTTTTGCGAACCAGTGGTAAAAATAAAAAATGACTTTCATTAAGTATTATGTACTGTAATCTATATTCAATAAAAATGATCCTATTCTATTCTATGGTTGTAGCACGAATGGTTCGTCTCGACCGAGGTAGGACCACACTTTCACAGAATACCAGCGTAAAATTGCACCTTAATTCTGCTGTGTTTCGTATGGCGAGTGTAGAGAACCGGAGACTCTTTTTACTGGAAACTATATATATATATATATAGTGGCGGGTAAGAATACTCACTACCCCATATCTTCCAGTGGGTGTCGTAAAAGGCGACAGAGGGAACCTGAGACAGAAGATGAGCAGCAGCATCTTTCTGATAACAGCAAAACAACAATAAAAAAACTGCGGTTGCCAACCCGCTCGCCAAGCGTGGCAACTATGGCAATATACCCCCCATGAAAGTAACGAAGAGACGGCCCCCAGTCCCCGGCGGCCCCGCTATTCCTGGCTACGGTGGCGATCATGGTAACGGCGGGGCAGGAGGTGCTAAGAATCTCCGGTGGAGGTTCGGTCGCCAATCGCCATCTACGACGACTCGACCTAGCAACTTATAACGCAACGCATATTATAGGAATATATGAGGTCCGAAAAGAGGGGGAGGACACGGTAATCCTCGAATCCGGCAATTTGTTCTATCACCGGGAGGGCGATCATCTATCCCAAGGAGGTGTCGGATTTGTCGTCCACAAGTCTCTCGTTAACAACGTTTTAAAGATTGGGAGTGTGTCGACGAGGGTTGCGCACCTTATACTCAGAATCACCAAACGGTATTCGCTGAAGATCATATAGGTTTACGCACCAACCTCGGCACACCCCGATGAGGAGGTGGAGGAAATGTATGAGGAATCTCTAGAGCCATGCATTCCTCCAAAACCCACTATACGGTGTTAATGGGAGACTTCAACGCAAAACTAGGAACAAGAGAGAACGGTGAGCTGAAAGTAGGGAATTTCGGAATCAGGCAACGGAACCCAAGGGGCCAGCAGCTGGCCGACTTCATGGAGAAAGACAGTCCACAGGAAGTGGACCTGGTCGAGCCCCGACGGTTCGACAAAAAATGAGATTGACTTCATAATGACGACCAGACGACAACTGTTCAGTGATGTCTTAGTGATCGCGATGGTGAATACCGGCAGCGATCACTGAATGGTGAGATGCACACTGAACCTAAACGTAAGTTGGAGTGGTCACGTCTAATGAAGGTAACGCTCCGTCCCCCTCGTGCTCTGTTCCAAAGTCCCGAAACCTTTCAGCTCGAGTTACAAAACCATTTTCAGTGCCTAGAAGACTGCAATGAAGTGGACGATATGAATGACAAGCTCGTGGAAACTGTCCATGCGGTCGGAGCTAAGTTCTGCAAGACCCGTCGCAGAAGAACACAAAAACTCTCCGATCACACTCTTAATCTCATGGCTGTTAGACGGGATATCGTCGTAGTCTTCAGTAGATTTGACAGCATACAGGCAACTGAACAGACAGATCTCCAAATGCATGCGGCGGGACTTACGCAACTTTAATACTGCTCGTATTAAAGAAGCGATCGAGCGGAACCAGTGCTCCAAAGTCTTTGCTAGAGATCTGTCTGCCAGAAAGAGCCAACTGTCGAAGCTGAAGACCGAGTGTGGCAGCGTCGTTTCCGGGACACCTGAGATTTTGAGTGAGATTGAGAGGTTCTATGGGCAGCTGTACACATCATCGTTGGAGCCACACGTAAGTGTGAGTAACGATCCAAGAGTGAGTCTTATCCGACACTATTCCGATGATATCCCGGACGTCAGTCTGAGCGAGATTAGAATGGCTCTCCAGCACCTTAAAAACGGCAAAGCCCCAGGCGAGGATGGAATTACAGCGGAGCTTCTGAAAGCGGGTGGAAAACCGGTACTTGAAGTCCTTCAGAAGCTCTTTAATTCCGTCCTTCATGGTGGCACTACTCCGGAGGCGTGGAGCAGAAGTGCGGTGGTCTTGTTCTTCAAGAAAGATGACAACGCTCTCTTGAAGAACTACAGACCGATTTCCCTTCTGAGCCGCGTCTACGTGCTGTTTTCGAGAGTCATTACGAATCGTCTCGCGCGCAGACTTGACGACTTCCAGCCTCCCGAACTAGCCGGTTTCCGAAAAGGCTTTAGCACCATAGACCACATACATACCCTTCGGCAAATCGTACTGAAGTCCGAGGAGTACAATTTGCCACTATGTCAATTTGGGCGGTGCTGCAGTCCCTTCAGCGATGCCAAGTTGACTGTCGGTATATCGAAGTGCTGAAGTGCTTGTACAGTAGGGCTACGATGGCTATCCGAATACAGAACCAGAGTGCGAAACCTATCCAATTGCAGAGAGGTGTAAGACAGGGTGACGTTATATACCCGAAACTCTTCGCCGCTGCATTGGAAGACGTTTTCAAGCTTCTGAACTGGAAAGGATACGGTATTAACATCAATGGCGAGTACATCACTCACCTTCGATTTACCGACGATATAGTCCTTATGGCAGAATCGCTGGAGGACCTAAGCACTATGCTCAATGACCTCAATAGTGTTTCCCAACGGATAGGTCTTAAGATGAACATGGACAAAACAAAGATCATGTTTAATGTCCATGTCACACCTATGGCGGTAGTTGTTGGGAGCACTAAGCTCGAAGTTGTTGACGAGTATGTTTACCTGGGACAAATAGTCCGACTAGGTAAGTCCAACTTCGACCGAGAGGTCAATGGACGGATTCAACTCCGTTGGGCAGCGTTCGGGAAATTACGGCGCATCTTCTCGTCAGGTATACCTCAAAACTTGAAAACAAGACTGTACAACCAGTGCGTGTTGCCAGTGATGACCTATGGTACTGAGACGTGGTCCTTCACTGCTGGCCGGAAGAGGAAGCTCAAGGTCGCTCAGCGAGCTATGGAGAGGGCTATGCTCGGGGTTTCTCTGCGTGATAAACTTAGAAATGAGGATATCCGCAGTAGAACCAGAGTGACCGACATAGCCCAACGGATTAGTAAACTGAAGTGGCAATGGGCCGGCCATATAGCGCCGCTAATCCCAGCACTACCACCCCCAGCACCAGCACACTAGACACAACACACCACTCTCGATAATACGACACGTGTTTCGCCTCTACACGAGGCATCCTCAGGTGAAGTAGGCTCTGCGGAGACTGGCCGCTAAGTAACAGCAAATATCGGCGTACGTCAGGCGGTGATTGATCGCATGACGTAATCGCTCGCTACGTAATTGGAACGCGGTTGCGTCAGCAAGTAGTATAAATAGCAGTAGTTTTGGCTCGCCGCTCACTTAGCGGCCAGCCTCCGTAGAGTCTACTTCACCTGAGGATGCCTCGTGTAGAGGCGAAACACGTGTCGTATTTTCGAGAGTGATGTGTCGTGCCTAGTGTGCTGGTGCTGGAGGTGGTAGTGCTGGGATTAGCGGCGACGAGTATAGTGCGCTCGATTGAGGGAGGATGGGAGGTCCCCTTAACACTGGGCAGGACACATAATTTTCTTTCTTTACGCGGAATTAAGCAAATTAGTTTATAACAACCCCATTATAATGGATTTCCGCAAAGTAACGCCTGATTCTATCAAATCCTCCTTTGCATTCTATGACTTTTTTCACAAGTCTTGGCATACGGGCATTCAATTTGTTGATAGTGTCTTGTGATATATTGCTTCAACGTTCGCACAAAGCATTCCACATTTCTTCTCGCGTGGATGGACCACAATTACGGACGTTCCTCTCTGCCTGCTCTTCCCTCAAAAGTTCAATGGGATTGAGATCCGGGCTCTGAGGAGGCCAAACCATGTTTTTTAACACCCCTTGTGCCTCTTTCTCTTCCAAATATCCTCTGCATAATTTTGAGCTATGCTTAGGATCATTGTCCTCTTGGAAAATGAATCCATCTCCAATTAATCGCAACCCCGAAGGAACTGCTTTTTATTCTAAAATATTTTTTTTCTTTTCCTTTTTCATAATTCCGTCAATTTTGATCAAATTGCCAGTTCCTTGGCTAGAAAAGCAACCCCAGACCATAATTGAGTCACCACCATGCTTGATTGTTGGGACTACACAGTACACAGTCTGGCATCATCTTTTCTTGGTCGCTGCGTTGAACGTAAATTCTTCGTTTTGAACCGAATAGCTCAAACTTGGTCAAAAAATTCATCGGTCTAAAGAACTTTTTTAAAATCTTTTTCAGTCCAATCTCGATGGGCAAGGGCCCATTGCATCCGTTTTTTCTTGTTTTGTGGCCTTAACAGAGGTTTTCGAATCACTTGACGTGGTAGATCTCGGCCTTCCCGAGAGGTGACGATCTTGAAAAGCGCCTGTCTCCCTGTATCGAGTTATTGTGCCATGAACACATGTCTTCGATAACTTCAATTGTAAAGCAATCTCACGTTCGGATTTGCCTTCATTAAGTAAAACAACGATGGCAGAACGCACTTCACTACTAATTTCGTGTGCTTTCCCATTTTAAGACGTCTTCCCTGTAGAAACCACTAGTTTACACTAATTGAGATTGTTTGTGAACAAAACCATGTAAACTCTAAAAGTTATTAGCCCATCATAAAATATTAGTACGACTCTACCACCTGGCTCTAACGCAGCGTTTGTGGGTGTTTGAAAACAATACATGTTTATTGTCCAATAACTTGAAAGTAAATAAAAGAATGACTTCTTTAGATATTCGATATTAACAATAGAATATGCAGGTGTACATTTCTTTTATTTATCTTATGGGATTTCGTTACAATTTATAGATAATTATGTTGTTTAAGTGTTGTCTTAAACTTTTGGCCGGCAATGTATAAACATCAATTTATTTTATTAACACATTTGCAGGAATTGGACGGTAGCGCAGAAGGTGCGGCAGAAGGAGAATGGAGTCTGCAAGTTAAACAATCCAAGGATAAGCACTCTCATTTGTTCCTGTTCGCCCGAACTGGGCGTGATAAACATGAATGGTATGATTTAAACAACTGTCACAGGAAACAAATGTACAGATGACATAATTCTTATGTGTGCGTGAGTGCGTGCATGTGTGTGGGTGTGTGCGTGTTCGAGAACGTCTGCATGTACGTCTACATAAGTGCAAGAGCCTGTGTGGGCTTGTGCTCGTGCGAATTTTCGCGTTTACATTACGCATGTTGTTTCTGAATGTGTATATAGGGCTATGGTTAAACATTTTGTTGTTTCGCAGTTTCGACTACCTCTAAGGGCAAATATTAAAAAAAGAAAACTCCGCTTGATCTGAACATCAAGAAGAAGCGACTAGTTATTTAGAAAGAATGAATAAAATTAAACTAGATAGGCCGACCAGCCTAGATTTATTTATTCCTTTTTTTTAATTTATTCTGTACATAATGTCTTAACTATGTTGACATCTTTGTAATCAGGTTTCGACGACTTAATTCGGCTATATCGGAGGCAAACGCGTCCAACGACTCGTCCACGGCCGAAGACAAGCCGACGAGCGAACAGTCGCAGGAGACCAAAGATGGCGTTGAGCTAGCAGTGTACAAATCATCGGAAAAGGACACCGTCACTGTTACGAAGGTAATAATAGAGTAATATATTATACTCATCTGATTTTTCAGCTTTCAAACAATCTGGTTTCTGGATATAGATATGACTAACCAATTTTGGCCAACTTGCTATTCACCATCAGGCCGTAAAGTCCCCTGCTAGAATAAGCCCCTTTCATGTGAAATAAAGAATTGAATTATATTTATTTCTCCAACGCAAGAGAATAGAACTTTGTTTGTCAAATAACATTTCTTTTACACACTCTGAAGCAGCGTAGTGGACAAATTGTTCCATAACTATCTCAGAAATGAGTGGAAAACTAAGCCCGGCAGTGGCAAGTATATTGCCTGTAACTTTATTTTTTATATAACTTTTTTTCTCTTTATTCGGGATAACAAAGAAACGTATAATATAATCTTATCACTAAATATAACACTAAATATGTGCTTAATAATCATATAATCAACACCATTATCCACATTACTATAGGGCCAATGCACAGAAGTATTTATATTTAAATTTAAAACAACCCATTCATGAATAAATGCGGAGAAAAACAAACTGAAACAAAATGATTGTGAAGTATCTCTAAAAGAGAATATAGCCGTGAGATATACCTATTATACAAAGTTTTTGAATGAAAATCAATATAAAAATAAATATTGATATACATAATATCAATTAAATTTCTTCACTGTACTGTATATGCATACACATTAGCATATACAAACATACATAATATATACATAAAATGCACATACCTATATAATTCAGTTAGATATAAATAATTAAATTAAACATAATATATAAACAATTAGAGTCACCCGAGGCAAGTGTGACATAAATTAATTAAAACTAAAATGAATATTTAAATGCTTCTACTCTGTAAGGGCTTAACACAAATAAATCCGTTTCAAAACATTAATTATTAAGTGGTTATTTGTTTAATCAAGCATTTTAGTATCTATCAGTAGCATTTTGTAATTTGAGGTAATGAAAACTAATTGAGGTGGATAATATCACACTTACCCCATCAATGAGGCAAGTGTGACAGTACGCTTCTTTTTGTAGTTACTTTATTAGTAACTGTAGTTTTCGAGAAAATTGATGAGATGATACTAATGTCGATATATTTTATGGGCTATTTGAACAATTTGAACGTCTATTTTTGTGTGATAATGGATTTTTCTATGCATGGGGTAAGTGTGACAGTTTTTAACCGATATAGTGATGTGCCTGTAAATGGATTTATGTCACACTTGCCCTGGATGTTTAGAAAGTGTAATAACTATAATGCTAAGTGAAAAATAACTTTAATTCCGCTTAGTTGCAAAATATGGGAAGAATGAGGCGGTAGTTTTAGAAGGATAATTTTATTTTCGTTAGCCTTTACAATAACATTTAAATCAAGGTGTGTTGCATAGCCGTCATATATTACAAGTTGTGGGTTGCCTGATTTACATATTTCCGGGAACAGTACATTTGAAATGTAACTTTCGAACACTGAAGCTATCCAACCCTTTGGAATAGCGGCAAATGCCGAATTAATCGAATTATCATCAGGTAACTATGTATTCCAAAGATACGTTCCTTTAAAAATTATTAACGGAGAAACTTTCTGGCCGCAGGCATTGCATTCGAACAATACAGTTGTATTATCGCGGCCTGGTGAGCTAGTGGTTCTTGTGGCTTAAAAACCTTTAAGGCCAATTATTATCAACTTTCCTGGGTTCCTTGACAGAAACTTGTTACATCAAGATTCCATTACTTGATCACCTTTGAATTGTTGCTTTTGTACAACTGTCTCAAGCACATCGTTGAACCCGTTAGGAAATACTAGTCGGCAGCTTTTCTTCTTGCGATTTGCTGGCTTGAGGTTTTTCTAATCGATAGTTTGTTCCTTGTTCTTAACCACTCGTCTCCCGGAATCCCATCTTTGAAGGGAGTATCGACTTAGTTGCGACGAACATATTGGCCAATTAAAGCTCTGACTTCTCGCTGAGTTAAACCAAAGGCATACTCCATGATATTTTTCACCCCTTTTGAGACACCCCTCCATATCTCAAAAACCACCAGTTTTCTATTTCTATTATATATGTACATTTTAAATTTAATTGAAATCAGATGAATCTTTCAAAAGTTATCACCGTACATACAAAATCATGCAGACATATGTACATACAAACACAATTACCTAATAACATATAAACACTGATTCGTTTAACGTGACTCTGTGATCTCACTCCCATCGCTCGCTCGTTTATTAAGTATAATTACAAAAGTAAATACTTAAATATAAATACATACAAACACACAGGTAAACAGTATCATCCTTTTTGAAAGTCAGTTAAAACAATATGCTGTCCTATCACTAGTTACGATATTCTCATACAAGATGATCGGGGTGTCACACTTACCCCGATATTAGATATCAGGTGAGATAAGTGTAACTGTATCCGTATTTTAAGGAATAGTGGATTTCAGGTCACATAAACATATTACACTATAAGTACCAATATTATTCTTTATCACTCACCTTGTATCTTGTTTAAAATAACTTAATGACGTATCAAAACACTTAAACACTTCGCGATTTAAAATTGTGCGGGCTTTTGTCAGTCAAAAAAAACGTGTGTCGATAAAATAGTTGAAGATATGTACTTAACTGTCAGTATAGTCAATAGCATAAAAGTTCCTGCGTTGTTCAAGAAATGGCATTTAACCAAAAAAAACGTATTTATGCCGCATAATTTGCATTTGTCACACTTGCGCCATTATCACACTTGCCTCACTCTACCTTACATTAAGTTGTATTTAATACAGATAAAACCTCAAATACTAAATAATTATATTTATCCCGTCATATATCGGAAACTGCAAGGTTATCTTCAATTCGCGAAGTGGTTTTTCAAATTTGTCTGCACGGGTGGTTTACAAGTGCCAAATTCATCTACACGTTGTGCACTCTGTGACTGATGGACGAGACTGGTGGATGGTAATCGATCCAAAAATGTCGAAACCAATTAATTAAAAATGAACTCAAGTTCAGATGAACACTACCTTCTGACTAACACGAGTCAGTAATCGAGTCTTATTGTTAATGCTAATTATTTCGGTCAATATTGACTAAGACTAATCAGGCCTCGTTAAGATGGAATTAAATTCCTTTATTGTCTATAGATTAATTTATCTTTACAGAACAAAACCAAGGACTCGGTGTCGGAGAGCGCTGGCATACCTACTATGTATCCGTTACTGGGCCACGCGAATTCCTACGAAAAAAGTTTTTGGGCGTACTTATTCAAAATTATGCAGGTACATTTGTCAATAAGCACGTTGAATGCGAGTATTAAAATAAAAAAAAAATATAAATATAAAAGTATATTATTTTTGAAGTTATACTTCTTTTGGGGCTTTTGGGTAAAATGATGAGAGTGAATTTGTACGATGCGCGCGCACATCGATATCTCAAAGCGACAACTTCAATGGGTAACTATCTCTCAAGTTTCCGTGGGAACTGATAATTATATTTAAGGTAGTTATTTTAGTTTTGTTATGCTAAAGAAGTATAACTTCCTACGTGCGTACATAAGTACACACACACACACACACACACACACACACACACACACACACACACACACACACACACACACACACACGCACACACACTTTTTTATTTTAATACTCGGTTTAAAATTATATATTTTTTCTTATCAGACGTAAATAAGAAAAATCCGGTAAGTATAGTAATTTAAAAAATAGCGCAACGGGTTAGTAAAAAAAACAACACTTTACGCGTAATACGAGTATATCTAAACTTGCAGTTCCTAAGTACATCGTTACAAATTGTTATATAATAACTGGCGACTCATTTTTGGGAAGATGTATAACAATTAATAACAATGTTCCCTGCAATATTACTGAATTGCCTTGGCATAAAATTAAGGCGCATTAAAAAGCATTCTGATGGAAAAAGATTGTTTTAAATAATTTATTTTTTTATAGAATAAGAGTGACAAACGAGTACGCAGTCCACCTAATGTACTTCTACCTAACATATCGATTATGAACCCATATGTTAGAATGCGTTGTCATATGGACTAAGATGGAATGCCTCGATTCCAGTGAAAAGGGTCTCTAATTATTATAAGATAAGAATGTTTGGACATTTTCTTGAATAATGACGATGAAAACTTTTGCAAAAACAAAAACGGGCACCTAAGCAAAGTACCAATTTTATTGTAACTATTATATTGTTTGATAATTTTAGGTAGTCTTATACTCGGAATTTTATTAATTAATTGGTAAGGAAATGTTTTCGTCAGTTTTATCATAATTATTTTGATAAAATTAATGAAAAATTATGTTAAAGTTCAAAACTCTAGTAGTGTAATGCTCGCTAAGTAAAAATGAAACACGTTTTTTTTTTCTTTTTCCTTCAATAGAGTAAAAACAGACATAAGCTTAGGATGGAGTGTGACTCCTTCTTGCTGATATCACAGCTTGCATTCCTCTGGGCATGCAAGCGAGTACATGTCTAATGGTTTCTTGCGAAATACGTTGTGTAGCTCTCTAATGTTCTGCAGAGCCGGCTGTGCTAATTTCACTCTTCGTTTGAAGGATGTCCCAGACGTGATCTATAGGATTTAGGTCAGGACTTCGAGCTGATCAATCCAAAGACGAACTCCGACCTCTAGCATATACCCTTCCAAATCGCAAGACCGGTGAGCGCGAGCGTTCGACCATAAAAATTAAGTTTTCGCTCAGAGCGGCCAATTCTGGTTGTGCATGAAGTATTAGAACTTAAGTTATGTATCGGTGTCCAGTTAGTGTGCCGTTGAAGAATAACTCCGTACGATCCAACGGATTAGTAAGCTGAAGTGGCAGTGGGCCGGCCATATAGCTCGAAGAACCGACAACCGATGGGGAAGAAAGGTTCTCGAGTGGCAGCCTCGTACTGGTAGGCGAAGTGTAGGGCGTCCCCCTACGAGATGGAGTGACGACCTGGTAAGACATGCAGGAAGTCGATGGATGCAGGTGGCTCAGGACCGTGCTTTGTGGCATTCTTTGGGGGAGGCCTATGTTCAGCAGTGGACTTGTGAAGGGCTGTAATGATGATGATGATGATGATGATGATCCAACGAATTCATTCTCGCAAAATAAATCCCCCACTATAACGTGTGATTTCTTCAAAATATACCTCTGTAAAGCGTTCTACTCGTCTTCGTAGTACTTGCTGGCGTCGGTCTTCACTGTACAGAATCCTGACTTCATCGGACAACAATACCCTATCCCAGTGTTCTTCGAGTCCATGACACACAATTTCGAGTCTAGCGAACTCGGTGCTCACGGAGTAAGTTAGGGCCGCGGTCTAGGCGATGACTGCGTATTTTGGCATCGAAAAGCATCCTGACTGTCCGTAGACTAATTTGCACATTTCTTACTTCTTCGAGGCTGTTCTTGAGGTCCAAATAAGAAGATTTGCGATTTCTCGACGCTTGCCTCACTAGAAAACGGTTCTTCCGTCATGGTTCGGTACATGGCTTTCTTCCAGAACCAGGCTTTCCCTTGACAGTACCGGTCTCTTGATACCGCTGCTAGACTCTTTGGACTGTCGAACGACTCACAATTAGCCTCTGAGCCACGAAGCATTGGCTACAACTCTTCTCAAGCAGCGCAAGAATTTTTCTGATTTTATCACTTTTCTATTGCTTTCGAGATCGCTAAACAGCAATTACAATACTTTAAAATGTCAAGGAAATGAGATAATTTAGTAAAAATATAGTAAGGACTAATATACTAAATAAAAATACCAAAAGTTTATTTAATGTACTAAAAGTTTATAAGTAGTCGATATTAACTTTCGTGAGTTCGCGCCACAAAACGTTTTTTTAACACCACGGCACTTTCTATAATCGGCTAGTAACATGTTCAAATTATTAAAACTTTTTTCGTGTTGTATTCACAGAAAAAAAATCAAAACCGCCCGTTTTTTTTGCAGATGAGTGTGTACAGGATTATTTTGCAATATATGCCCGAATATGCAAAAGAGTTTAAAATAAGTAATATAGGCGAATGGGGAAGAAAAATTAATAAAAAACAAATCTCAAACGTTTTGTCCTTTTTATCTTTTAAATTCAGAATGCGTGGTAATGCATTATTTTGAGTGATTGCCATTCATAAATATCTAACGCTACTACTTTATTACACACGCACACTGTCGTAAGAGTCGTCAAAAACGTTGTGAATTTAATCGTACCCAGAGGTGCGCGCATACGCTTAATTGTTGCCCATAAATCACATTCAATTATGGATAATTTCAAGTAAAAGTAAAAGTATAATTTACTCGTATTTTCGAACACCACAATAACGGTATATCATTATTTATATATTTGAACGTAAGCTTAAAATTTGGACACTGAAAAATAAACTTGTATATTTTTTACAATGTTTTCTGCAGAAGGGATTAGTTGAAGCCATATATTAACTTTCAATAAGTTCTTAGTAAAGGGCAATTTGAAATAAAAATATTTTGACTGACGAAACGAACGAGGAAAGAAAAATACCCTTATCAATTATTAGAAGAAGTTTAAAGTTGATTTTTGATTTCGTTAAATCCTGCCATTAGTACTTAACTTGGCTTGTTCGGCAGTGGAAAATTTCAAAGCCGCTATGGGTAAATAAAATTTATGGGAGATACAAATATTTGGTTCCATCGCTACAGTCGCATGAACGTGAACAGAGGCGCAAGGTGGATGTCGGCCTCATGTGCCAAATAGAACCCTCTCCCCACGACCGCTTCAAGAGCAAGAGGAAGAAGAAAGGACGGGGAGAAGACGTTGGTTATTCAACTATTTACGTAGTTATTATATTGTGATTATTAAACTTCAATTTATATTTTGCTACTTTTCGCCATATTAAGTAGTTCTATGTAGTAATCGGAGTAAATCGTAAAACCGTGTTAAATATTGTTTAAATTATGTCATTATTACAACAATATTATGCACTCATGTGCACAAAAATCAAAATATCATGGGTGTGTGTGCGTTGCCGTAAAGGCGGTTAAAATTAAGTGAACATACACACATATGATCTTTCCATACAAAATGCATTTACCAATTAATTTAATGCTTTTTGATAAAGCAAAGTGATCTTGGCTTTCTCATACGGCCATGAACCCTTTGCTGAATGAAATAAGATCCATTTGCCTTTCGTGAGCGGATTTTTTTACAAATTAAACTTATGGCTAATACTTAGCATTGCTTCTTCACAATTGGTCGTATTTTGACCACAAGCGATACATGTTCTCCTAAACTGACAGAAAGAAAAAGCAATCAGGAAATTAAAATGGGAATAACATGGGGCACGTGAAACATCCACTTTTTCAAAAGAAGAAATAGATGTTTCACTTGTTCCAGAGTAAGAAAACGTAAATCATTGTATTAGTATCTATTGTAGAAACCTTAATGCAGTCTAATTGGTAAATATTCGTAGCGTATTATTTGTACTAGCGGTTGTTATTAGTAGAAATTTTTAGGGCATGTACTGTATATTATATTGTTTTGGCGTGATCATACTGAAGCATATTCTGTTTTATAGAACTGTAGGATAGTGGGATTTGCAGTCCACCTTATGGTGAAAGGATACTGCACACATGCAATTAAATTCAATAAGACGATAACGAAAATTAGGTTTCTAAAATTTCATATTGTGACATCAGAAAACACACTGCATTTAGCAGCAGAAATAGGTAAGAAGGAGCTACCACGTAACCTACCTTCTACTAAGCGTAGCTATTATAGCAAACCCGTCTATGGTAAAGGCCTGCCGTAGTCCCGTGGGCTTGTCCTCACCTATGACTCCTGTGTCTCAAAAGCCATATTTAATGGCCTTTGAGAACCTTAGACTCACAGTAACAACTAGAATGTGTAAAATTTAATAGTGTTACGAGCTTGGGGTTCGAGTCAATTAAAAACGGCCGAGTGAATTACCAAAATTAACACTTTCATTACAGAACACTAATTACAACTTAAAACCACACTAATAACAAAACACACGTGGTGTAGAGCCATGCTGCAGCTATATTATGGTTGTAGCACGAATGGGTCGGCTCGACCGGGGAAGAACCACGCTCTCACAGAATACCAGCGTAAAATAGCAGCTTAACGCTGCTGTGTTTCGTATGGTGAGTGTAGAGAACCGGAGACCCTTTTTACTGGAAACGAGGCATTCCATCTTAGTCCTCACGGGTGACAATGCATCTGCATTTTGATTCTTAATCGAAGATAGATGTAGATGTCTAGCAACCACTTACCATCATGTGGACTGTATGTTCGTTTGTCACCCTTATCCTAGAAAAAAATGCAATTGTACTACTGATCACTTTAGTTCGCAGTATTCATTTTTATCGCCAATTCAACACTGACTCGGGTCGCGGTCTATACCAGCACAGCTAGCATGGGCTGGGGACAAAAATTTATCCCCCGATATAACCACTGACAATAGATAAAATTATGTTGTCCCTATGCCAAAGCACGGCAACGGGGAGAAGTATATCCCCGTTTGACATAACGAGTAGACATATATCCCCTATCCGTACCATGGAGCCAAATGAAAGATAAAAAGTTATGCTTTTTTGACATTTGAAAGGGACAATTTTATCCTAGTTCATTGTACGTGGGTTTTAGTATATATTGATACAAAAATCTATCTAAGTCTATCTCCCATTTTATCTACTGTGGATATTGTATCCACCAGTGTGCCCATGCTCGAAGGGTGGATAAAGTTAAGCGAGGGATAAACATTTTGTCCTTTACCCAGAGATAAAATTGTCTCCTGTCCATGCTAGCCCTGCAGCCTTATATAGGGCCTCAGATAATTCCAGAACCTTCTACTTTAGAAACATCTAGAATGTTCGAGTACATATCGGTCCCAACACACTAGGTGTAGTGTCTATCTAATCTAGAAAGTTCTTCCATGGAAATTTCTAAAAGGGTCTTGACTCTCTTAGTTCTGCTACTCGATACTAGAAGGCGCTAGTGATAACTAGTGTCGCTATGTACCAGGCATTAATTGTGGCGCGCAACACTGCCCCCTCCTAAGACATGCTCGTCCCGAGCATTATCGGCCCCATAATAATGCGCCAGTCGATCCATCCATATGGAAGATCGTCGACTACGACGATTAGGAGTATCTCTTGCAGCTTTCTGTATCGGGTAGGTTACGTCATTGATCCTTGTCACAATCCGACACGATCCGTGCCATTTAACTTGAAGCTTAGGAGATTTCCCTTTGCTGCGACCTGAATCGTGTAACCATTCTAGTGAACCTTCGTGGAACCCTTTTATTGTTCATTTTGCGGTCATACCGTGTTTTCATCTTTTCAGACATTTGGTGGCCCGATTGTCTGACGTGCTCATAAATGTCATTCATTTTGTTCCCCAATTCATTTGCATAATCGGTTATACTGCGTGGGGCATCAGGTGGTATTCCGGTAATCGGATCTGCAGGCAGCCGTAATTCTCTTCCAAAGTTTGCAAAAGCTGGTGTCACTGATGTATTTTCGTGAACAGCGCTTCGATATGACAACAAAAACGGCTGTATGTGCTTGTCCCAGTCTCGTTGCCGATTTTCCACAACTTTTGCTAAGCACCTCTCCAATGTGTGATTAAATCATTCTAACATTCCATTAGATTGTGGGTAGTGACAAGTTTTGTTTTATGAGTACCCATAACTCGGCAAGTTTCCTGGAATATTTGAGACTCAAAATTCCTTCCTTGATCGCTATAAATCTCCAAGGCTACCAAAACGACAGGAGACTTCATGAACTAGTTTATCTGCAACTGTTGAAGCTTCTTGATTTAGAATAGCGAAAACTTCTGGCCACTTAGTGAAATAATCCATCACAACCATGAAATACTTGTTACCACTTTCACTTTCCGGAAACGGTCCCTCAAGGTCAATGGCTATCCTCTCTCATGGTGCACCAACATTGTACAATTTCAATGCACCTCTACTACGAGTTTGAGGTCCCTTTACAGCCGCCCAACTTTACAGTTGCGACACCAGTCTTTGACATTGTCACGACAGTGGACCCAGTACAACCGTTTTGAGATTTTCAATAGAGTTCGTTTCACTCCCAGATGGCCTCCCGAACAACCATTATGGTACAGCTGTAGAACATCTGGTACTTAGCTTTATGGACAATCATTTGCAAATGACAGCTGTCTCCACGGCCATTTTCCCATTTACGGCACAGGATTCCATCCTGAATCAGTAAGCTGTCACATTGGGCACAATAGCTTTTCGTGGTCGAATTCATTGCTGAGACGTCGCTCCACTTGGGCTTTAGGAGCACTGGCCTTCATCCATTCCAGAATCGGCATGATGTCCGAATCTTCCTGCTGTGCATGTTGTAGGCTGTCCTTCCACTCATTGCTGAGCTAGTATGTCCTGAGCATCCGCACAGATGCCACTTCCTTACCCTCTTGACGTCTATCACTTTCCCTTTCTACAGTTCGCTTAGGGCAGCTGGATCGAAGATGGCCGCTTTCTCAGCAGCCGTAGCACCTAGGGCTGTATCCTTTATTGCGGTCGGGAGCTGTAGCTGCTGCAACCTCCCTGACGCGATGGCAACGATGATCCTGCCGCACGGCTCCCACCTCCAGTACATGGGCCAAGGCGTGCTTAAGCGTTTCGTGATGCCTGAGCCTCACAGCAGCTCTGACTTCAAGGTCGCGGATGCCGTCGATGTATGTCTGCACCAGGTTCCCTTCAATTAGCACAGGTACAGACGGGTATGCTTTTCTTAACCAGCTTCTTCACCTCAAGGACCCACTGCAGCAGTACTGCAGGTTTTCGTTGCTGCGTTGCGCGCGATCACAAAATACCAGCGTAAAATAGCAGCTTAACGCAGCTGTGTTTCGTATGGTGAGTGTAGAGAACCGGAGACCCTTTTTGCTGGAAACGAGGCATTCCATCTTAGTCCTCACGGGTGACAATGCATCTGCATTTTAATTCGTAATGGAGGATAGATGTAGATGTTTATGGCCACAGTAACCACTTGCCATCGGGTGGACTGTGACAGGATTGGGGTGACAAACTTCTCGTTTCTATAAAAAAAATATCTTTGAGCTGCGCACGAAACACGTGTTCCAGGTGGGCGTCGCCATATCTCGCCTCCAATGCCCCAAGGAGCTGCTCGTAAGTCACTTTCTTACCGAGAGCTTCCAGAACATTTAGGGCCTGATCGCACAGGCTTAGGGTGAAGGCAGTCATGGCCTGACTTTTATTCAAGCCTTTATGACAGCCTCGAACTGGATTTTGTAGGCCGACCAGGAAGAAGTCGCGTCGAACGGCGGCACTTTGAATTCACGTAGCTACCACGTAGGTAAGTAGCTACCACGGGAGGTGTAATTCCATCCCCAAGTTTGAGGTCGTCCAGCGTTTTCTTCACGTCAGCCATCACTTTGTCAACCCGATTGTTCACTTCGACGATTCGGGTTTCAGCTTCCGACAGGCGGTTGTCATGTTGAGCAACCTTATCCTTCACCTCCCGAAGATAGCGTGAAGGTTCTTCATGAGGAGCATCTGCTCTTCCTTGCCGCGTTGCAGCTTCTTTTCCAACAGACGGGCTTGTTCCTCCTGTCGGTGGGAGTGCTCCTGCAGCATCATCATCAGATACCTAAGTCAGGTGCTGCAGATGCAAGAGCTGCTGACGGGCCGGTCTCCTTATATAGGCCCTTAGATAATTCCAGAACTTTCTACTGTAGAAACATCTAGAATGTTCGAGTACATATCGGCACCGACTGACTAGGTGTCGATAGTTCTAGAGAGTTTCCCCACGGAAATTTCTAGAAGGATCTTGACACTAGAAGACGCTAGTGGTGACAAGTGTCGCCATGTACCAGGCATTAATTGTGACGCGCAACACTAGGTACCTATTTTTACCCTTAGAGGTAAAATTATTTCTTCAAATTTATGTGATAGTTCATCAGGAGTTACCGCAAAAAAATCACATATACAATACGTCACGACTGTAATCCCTGAGAGTAAATAGAGTTCAAAAATCGGCGAGCTACTTGGACCATGACCTATTCGGTTTACGTTTAGCCAAATAAAACATAGGTATAGTTTTAAAATTGTGAATTTTTTTTATGCTTTTTGTTGGTTGTCTCGAGGAACTACTGGGTGTACGGGGTGTACCCCCACCTCTTTAATATATATATTGTAATGTTTTCTTGGTATAACAATAAAGGTATTCGCATTGTACTGTATTCATAGGTGAGACCGCGGAGTATGAGTTCTGCGCTGTGACCGTGTGTAATGTTTCCCTGGTGAACATTGGAGGGATTTGTATTGTGTTGTGTTCGCTCGAGTGATATTGAGGGGTGTGCACAGGGCGCGGGCGGGGCTGGTGGCGCGGGTGCGGAGGAGGCGGAGTGCGAGTGCCGGCTGCTGCCGGGCGAGGTGGCGTGGGTCAACACGGTGCTGGCGCGCCTCATGTTCGACGTCATGCGCGACCCCGCCATCATCGCGCGCCTGCAGGCACGCATACAGCGCAAGCTCAACACGCTCAAGGTATACACGTCTTTTTATACTTTTTTTTTATATTGTGAGGCTGACAAAAGCGCACACTGTCCAACTGATGATATGTGGGTGCTGTGGCCTATAGAACATGTTCCAAACATCTTTCTTCTATTGAGAATAAAAATGGTAATGTGTAGTCACCATTGAAGACTAGGATGAAATGCCTCTCGTCGTTCTCTGTTCTCTCGCTCGTTACCAGTAAAAAGGTTCTCTGGTTCTCTACACTCACCACACGGTAATTTAATTTGCTTTTAATACATTTTTGTTTGATAGTATTAACTACGTACAGCATTGTGAAGACGAGATATAATACTTTTCATGGTGTGCACCATTAACAATATAGTGGCGATGTAAGAATATCCACTACCCCAAATCGTCTCAAGAAGGTACAGAGGGGAACTGAAGCAGGAAATGGGTAGCAGCACTTTCCTGGTCCCAAAATCATAAAAAAACTATGGTTACCAACCCGCCCGCCAAGCGTGGTAAGCCAATCTGTAGGGGAGGCCTATGTTCAACAGTACACTTTTATAGGCTCCAAGTAAAGGGAGAAAAGTGTGCGCCCATTTACTGATCATTCAAAAAAGGAAAACATAAATATTAGCCGTAATCCTTATTTTGTTTCGTTCAAAATCCAATTACTAAATTAACTGAATCTATGACAGGAATGTGCTTGTTCTTGTCCATCTTGTCCTTCTTGGGCAATCTTGTATTGAAAAGGTATAGGCAAATGCTTACATAGCACTTAAAATGAATTGAGAATGTAGTGCATTACAATAAGTAGAGCGTGTAGTGAAGGGCTTATGCTCGGTGTGCAGCTGCCGTCGTTCATGAGCCCGCTAGTGGTGACGGAGCTGTCGCTGGCGGGCGCGTGCCCGCTGGTGCGGCGCGTGGCGGCGCCCGCGTGCGACGAGCGCGGCGTGTGGCTCGACGCCGACCTGCGCTACGACGGCGGCGCCTACATCGCCATATCCACGCAGATCAACCTCATGAAGCTCAAGGAGAAGAGTGAGCATCCCATACCCATTTACTTTCAATTATAATCAAACGCTTCTATGTATATATACTACTTGACAGGCTCTGCGGCCTTACATTGCGCACTATATTATCCTAAATTCTCCGTAACTAGTTAAGTAAACTGCGAGCGGCGATGAAAACTAGTTCTTTGTTTTATAAACCATGAACTTTGTTTTCGACAATCTAATACTGAAAGGGATCAGGAGATCATCGCCCGCCCTGCAGCAGAGATCAAACAATTATTGACCTTCTATTCACGGACCCTTACCACACCACGTTGGGTTCAGGAACAACGAGTTGGGCGTGACTCTTGAGCAGACGCTCAATTCAAAATCTGCCTCTCCTCTCTCAAAAGAAATATTCGATGGCTAAGATTACGGGTATTCTTGGAATTATTAACTCGCGTCGCCAACAAACACTGGTTTTCTTTACGTTGTTGACTAAGTAAACGCTGGTATTATTTTTATATGCGCACTTTGTCAACATAACTTTAAGTTTATTTCAGATAAGGTATGTGTACTCGTAACTTTATTTCGTATTTGCCTAAAAACAGTAACTACATGTCATTTTTATCGTGCCAGCTACTGTACAGCACCCGCACTGTCCCCACAACTGTGACACAGTTTAGGGTTCCATACCCAAAGGGTAACCAACAGGACCCTATTACTAAGCATCCGCTGTCCGTCCGTCCGTCCACTTGTCCGGCCATCTGTCCGTCCGTCCGTCCGTCCGTCTGTCTGTCAGCGAGATATGTCTCATGATCCGTAATAGGTAGACAGTTGAAATTTTCGCAGAATGTGTATTTCTGTCCACTATAATAACAGATATTAAAAATTAAAGGGGATTAAACATCATGCGCGAGTCCGACTCGCACTTGGCCGGCATTTTTGTTCTGAATTGCCGATCTAGTACTATATATAGAAGTCTTTGATAATAAATAAAAATGAATTTAATTAGTTTTTTATAGATTACAGGTGACAAATGAACACAGTCCACCTGATGGTAAATATATGCTATGGCGCATAGACATCTACATCTATCCTTGATAAAGAACCAAAATCCAAATGCGTTGTCACTCCTGAGGACTAAGATGTAATACAAAATTTTTGTTAAAGTTTTGAACTCTCGAAACCGTAGCTAACGCACAATCGAATGGTGGTTCATATTGGAATTATCAGAACCTGTCTGTGAAGTCTTCAGTCGTTGCTTAAATTTTTTGTTCGGCAATCGCATGCAACGTGAACGTTTTTCTTGATAAATTTGTCCTATTTATGTAACAAAATATTTAAGAAGTAAATTTTTCATTTATTAAAAATAATCTCCGAATAATGAAATATCCGAATGTGCCTTACGGTGCTGATAACGCTAGATCATAACTCGATCGTGTTTGTCGATTCGAATTGGTTTGCGAGTAAGGTTTTCAAATCAGTCGCGTAAATTCTTTTTTGGAACTAATTTTAGAACCTTACTTCCGAAATCTGAATCAAAAAGTAAATCGAATTCGAATACAATTTCGGGAGTAAGCACTTGACCGTTACTTTGTTGAAATCCTTTATTTTAAAGATGTTTAAATTAATTATCTATGATACGCGTAAAAAGACCTCTCTCCTTTTCTCAATTAGGTAGTCCTTCTTTTCATTTACTTATTTTGATTGTTTTTACTTCATTTTAATAGATGTAACCTTAGAGGACCAATTAATGCCAGCAAATGAAAACGTTGAGGAAACTGAGGTGAATGCTCCTTCCTCTCCGGGACCTGGTGCTGATAAGCAATTTCAAGTAAGTTGTATTATTTTAAATACGCCTATGACGCGGGGTTAAATCGGCTACAGCGAAAGAATGAATTTTGTGCAATTGACTTTTTTTACTGTTATGTACGAGCAGGAATGCAGGTCTAGAGAAACCAGTATTACTGCGACCTAAAAGATCTATTGTGATCGCTGCTATGTCTACAGTTCACTGCTAAGCCCTACGTCCTCAATGAATAGAAGGAGTTCCTTAGCTGTGAGTAATTTCACTTCTTCTGGGCGAAGTACATACTGCGTTTGCGCATTAAGGGTGCGCGATTTGTGAGGATGTGTAAAGGCGTTTTCTTCTCTAGGGAGCAAAACCGGCACATCCTTGAGTTGCTTAGTCCCAGGATGGACATGTGCTTTTTAAAACAACAGTGTCCAGTCAGAATGCACAATTTATTTTTACCTAATCCCAGGGCTTCCGAACCGAATTTACGATCGAAGCCTGGATTAAGATTTTAGAATTTTTTAAGGTTGGTGTATCAGACCAGATCTTAAGTGATTTATTGTGGTAAAGAGTTGCCAGGGTCAATCGGGCGAGGCTTTTTGAGATTCCACAAAATGGCTCGGGTCCAAATTGTGTACTCTTTGAGCCCTCCCGTGCGAGTTTGTCGGCAGTTTCATTGCCTATAATACCCGAGTGACCCGGAACGCATCTTAAAACGGCCTTGTTGTTACCTCACAGGGTGTTTAGACGGGTTACGTAGTCTCGAACTAGCTTCGAGTTCACCAAGTTTGATCTCAGCGCTAGCAGTGCTGCCTGACTATCAGAATTAATATAGATTATATGGTTAACGTAGTGTTTTTGCAGATTGATTTCCGCATACTGAAGTATGGCGAAATTTTCTGCCTGGAAGATAGAGATGAATCTACCCAAATTCATACTAAGTTTGAATTTGGGGCGTTCCCCATAAATTCCAGTCTTCTCTGGAGGGTATTTCCACTGTACACTTTTTGTTAAAAGTATATAATGGTGGACGCATGCTACGAGTATGTGAGATAGTCCAACATGGATCTCAATCTATAGGAAAGCAAGCTCAAACAGCCCTGAGCGTTAATCCTATACAAAATAGCCCTCGCCTCCTTGTCTAAGTAAAGATCAAGGGGCGTTAGGCATAGAAGTGCATTAAAAGCCGCTCCAGGCGATGATCGCATCGCTCCAGTTGCCATTAAGCAGATAGTCCTTTGTAGACTATTTAGTCTGTCCTCAGTCCTCTTTTGGTTGGCCTTAGTACACAAGACAGTGGAGGCGTAGGTAATAATCGGCTCACTATACTGCTGTACAGCCATAGGATCATACTGGTACGCGACTGCACGTACCTAAAGCAATTTTAGCCTAATGACATACATTGCTAAGCTAAGAGTTTCACGTTAGTTTTGGGCGATTGTTACGCCCAAGTACTTAACTTCAGTGGAGAATGGTACTTCTTTGCCATTAACTTTTGGTGTGACTAATTTGTCCAACCGTCTCTTTTGGTAAAGAGTATTATAACAGTTTTATCAGCATTAACTGATAAACTGTTATCCCTGTACCAGTTGTTTATGGTATTTAGGCCTCTTTGTATGATTAATGACAGAGTACTTTGGCAAAAGCCCCTCGCAATGATCACAAGGTCATTAGCATAACGCAGTGTGTCAATGCGAAGGTCTGCCATCTTGTACAATAATTGGTCAACCGCAAGAGTCCAAAGGACAAGTCCAAGTGACAAAACACCACCTTGTGGACAGCCTCTTGTAGTTGCAACCTCAATCTACGTTTGAAACACCTCTATTTTTCCCTTTCTGTTTGAGAGCATCGACTTCACCCACCTGATGGTTGTGGGTTCAACATTTTTAGATGTCAGGCCCCCAACCAACAGTAATAGTAGGACTACTGCCGAAGGCGCCCTCAATGTCTAGAAAGGCACAAAGAGCTATTTCTTTATCCTCCAGCGCTTTTACGACCCTGTCAGTAACATTGATCAGGGCTGTTTCCGTAGATTTACTCTGCGGTAAGCATGCTTGTTGTAGTGTATAGGTCTCGTAGCTAGAGCTACATCCCTAATATATCTATCTGTAACCTTTTCTAATGTCTTAAGAAGAAAAGAAGAAAGGCTTATAGGTCTAAAGGACTTTGGTAAGACGCGTAATCCTTTCTACCAGCCTTAGGTATAAATAGAACTTTGACAATTGTCCATCGTTCTGGAATATATCCCCATGCAAAACTTGCTCTGAAGATTTTCACCAGATAAGGAAGAAAAATATCGATACCCCTCTGTAGATGGATGGGCATTATTCCATCCTTCCCACTTGTCTTATATGGTTTAAAGGAGTCAACAGCCCACTGCACCAAGTTTGGCCTTATTATCTTTGTAGCCCTACACCAGTCCTCATTACTAGGCCTTCGTATGGCTCTGAAAGAGTTCAAGGCTAGTCATACGTGACCCTGGGATATGGGTTGACGTTAGTAGCTCCAGTGTTTCAGTTCCACTATTAGTGAAGTTATCATCAGACTTTTTAAGAACCTCGATCTGATTAGGTTTAAGCTTTCGATAGCATTTTGTGTAGTGTTACACTGCGAGGCAAAGACTCAACGATGCTCTCTTAGCTTTCCTAATTTCTTTATTATAATCGGTTAGGGCTGCACTATAAATATCCCATTCTTTGTTTTTTTAGCCCTATTGCATAGTTTCCTAGTCTTTTCCCTAAGCTCCTTTAGCTTAGTGTTCCACCAAGGAAAGGTTTTTATGCTTTTAGGAAACGTTTCCAAATTCCTCCTTAGGCTATCTCTGTAGACATCCCAGGAGGTCGCTTTTGGATCCCTAAAAGCAACAGTTTCATAAGTTAGTGATGCTTTAATCACAAATTTAATGTGCCTGTGATCAAACATCGAATTTTCACTACAAACATGCTAGTAAGTAATGCGCCTGAACATGTTATTGGTAGCAAAGGTTTTATCTAAAACTGTCGCATCTAAAGACACTAACAGGACTATATTGGGCAGTGGATATTCTTACACCATTTGCCATTAAGCAGAAGCAGCAGTCACTACACGCTTATAACGAACTACAATTAAACACACTTGACTAAAAATGAATTCAGTACTATTAGTGTGGCGACGGCCAGAATCACGACACCGATTAAAGGGTCTCCCACACAAGCGGCATGCGGTGGCTGCTATCGCAAGCCGCGGCTCCGGCCGCTGCAACAACACAGCACCGCGGTCGCAGTGGCGACCTGAAGCGCCATTCGCTGTGGTACCTATGCTACGATCGAACGCCAGTCAACATGGCTACGAACAACACCACACAACACCGTGACGAAGTCTTATTACTCTTATTTTATACTTCATTATCACATATTTTGTTTTTAATCCTATTGCTTTTGCAATCACGGTGTGAAGTATCATAAAGTACTGGATAATTTTGCACTGTTTCTATTAAAATAAGAATATCCACCACCCTATATCGTCCCGTGGGTGTCGGTAAGAGCCGACAAAGGCAAACTAAAACAGAAGATGGGCAGCACCATCATCTCAAAGTAATAAAAAACAGCGTTTGCTAACCCGCCTGCCAAGTATGCGGCAACTATGGCAAAATCCTCCCTATGAGGCAATCTATGGGAGAGGACTATGTTCAACAATGGAATTTTATCAGCTGTAATGGATAATTGACCGTCTCTCTTCGAGTCTCCATGACCAATAACGATTAGATCAGCTACTTCTTAAAATGTGCGATATATCGAACAGATTACGTAAAAAGTAAATAATCTTACGTTTTTTTTTTAGAAACGTAAACCAGCTATATACGACTCTGACGTAGAGGACTCGGCGGAATCCAGCAGTGACGATGAAAGCCCGCCGGTGCAAGTTGACGACGGCGGGGAGAACCTGCCGCCTTCCGATTTGCCGTATGTTCATTATTACTTTTTAACACATATTTTTTTATGTAGCGTAGGCTGCGCGCGGTAAATTATTATAAAAGATAGCATTACAATATTACCACGTTTTTATTATGTCACTTTCTTGTTTGTCTTTCCGTCGTTCCGGGTGGAATATTACAATTCAAATTTCGAGCACTTCCCGATTAGCTAGAGACTTGAAATTTTGTACATAGCTCAGAATCGGATGACAATGTAAGTAATGAAGTAGGAATGTATATATTAAATTTTTTTTGTACAAAATTTTAAAAAAACACTTGGTTTAGTTCTAATAATATAAGTTTATCAACAATAAATGGGATGGATTCTCCAACTGGCAGCGTTAGAGAATCTTATACTATATCATCATGTCTAAAAGGCGACAAAGGTAATTGAAACTGGAGATGCGCAAAAGCTATTCCCCGATAACAACTAAAAAATGAAAACTGATCATGGTAACTATGGCAAACAAAGACTGCTATGTATACTCTACTAGACTGACAATTCATACTGTATCACAGCTGAGGACCGCGCGGGCGCGGGTGGGTTGCCGCCACGGTAAATATGCCACGCAGTTATACATACAGAGACATCTTTCGTAACTCTTATTAGTATTAGTTGCCACGCTTGGCCAGCGGGTTGGCAGCTTGGGGTGGCGCCTCCAAAACTACCATGATTCAGTTGGAGAGGGCACACAGAGCAGTTCCGAAGGTCATGTTAAAAAAGCCCTACCAGTACACTACGGCCTATCTTTATCGGGATACAGAGGTTTTGAGTGTACGCCAGTTATATATTCTATCCGCAGTATTAAAACACATGGGCAAGTAACTCAGTCGCCTAATTACGACCAATTAATTACTAAACATAATTAAAATCCCAATTCCAGCGATCAAATCTGTTTTTGCGCAATGCCTCACGCAGTTTTCACATCCCCATATCTATAACAAAATACTTAAAGTCTATGACATCAAAAATTGCACTACATCACTACACTAAACTATTATTACACTGAAAAGTTAATATTAAATTATAAATAATATCAAATAATATACAATCTCTATGTTTAACACCAAAAAATTGTATCAATATTTTATAACCGAATAATAAATAAATAATAATGTAAGGGACAACAAGTTAAAACTATTTTCTTAATTAAAGAAATAATTTGTTAGTTTGGAAAAAAATCTAGTTTTAACTACGTAATTAAAACTGATAACCGTACTCCTGGTCCCCAAGATACAGGCTGTGCCTAATTTAGGGTCCGCCAGTTAATTTTTTTATATCTAATAAGAATTAAAAATAATTTAATACAAGTTACTGCTTTTGTGTTTAGCTCTGTAGCTCTATATTTTAGGAATAAATGTTTTTTTATTTTTTTTTTTATTTTACACCTTGGCATGACTAATAAAGTCTGTGCGGTTCCGAGAATGCTTTCTGCGCTTCAAAAACACGAGCGCGTCGAAAGTTGTCGCGAGTTTTTGGACCGCTGTGGAGAGCAAAGGGAGGAAGTTATGGCCCGAATTGTAACTCGCGATGAAACTTGGGTTATGAACCTAAGTTAAAGCAAGAGTCGATGCAGTGGCATAAAAAAGGCAAAGACACACACAAGAAGTATAAAAGTGTCTCAACCAGCTGGAGAAATCATGGCGACGATCTTTTGGGATACAGAAGGTATCCTTTTGATTGATTATAAGGAAAGTGGAAACTAATAAAAAAAACTAATGGAAACACTTCCATAACGGGAGAATACTACGCTACTTTATTAGATCAATTAAAAGAAGCTATTAAATAAAAAAGGCGAGAAAAGCTTATAAAAGGCGTGCTCCTTTGGCACGACAATGCGACCGTGCACACAAGCTATGTTGCGACGGCTGCCATTCACCGGTGCGGTTTTGAACAACTGCGCCACCCACCCTACAGCCCAGACCTGGCCCCAAGCGACTATTATTGTTTCCAAAAGTGAAAGAATTGCGTGGGAAAAATTTTGGCGACGATGCTGATGTCAAATCGACAATTTCGGCCCATTTTGACGCCCAAGACAAATTTTTTTTTATAGACAGTATTAATAAGTTATTTGACATATCTAGTAAATGTATTAGGGTTAAGGGATGATACATTGAAAAGGAAAAATAGTTTAATGTGTCATTTCATTATTCTTCCCTGTCATTCCGCAAACTTATTGACCTCCCCTCGTAGCTTGAAAAACTGTCGGTTCTTACCGTTGGGGAAAAAAGTTTCTCGAGTGGCAGCCTCGTACCGGTAGGAGAAGTGTAGGGTGACTCCCCACTAAATGGAGTAACGACAGGAAGTCAATGCATGCAGGTGGCTCGGGACCGTGCTTTGTGGCATTCCATGGGAGAGGGTTATGTTCAGCAGTGGAGTTGTAAGGGCTGTAATGATAATGATGATGATGAATTCTATATATAAATTTTGTAACTTTTAGATCATAAGATTTCATTTTCACATATAGATAAAAAGGATATGAAATAAATACACTTTTTAAATAATTATGTTAATAACAATATTTTGAAGTACGACATTATGTCTGTCTGTCTTTTTCATATAATTACAAAAAGTAAATAGTATAAAAGAACATTTATTTTATTTTATTTTACAACTTTACAAGCTGTACTCGTGACTTAGTTTATAATTGTTTGCTTGACACGATATGTATGTGGACTGAATAATATAGATTCGACTTGAGACTACAACTACTAACTACTACTTGAGTCTATGTCAGTCGTAAGCGTGTGATTCAATGTTTCCTTTTGATTTTTGTATTAGAGCGAACACGGCAGATGGAGGAGGATCTTCTAAGAAGAAATTTTTGCGAATGGTTGACAAGATTGCCACAAACAAATACTTCCAGCAGGTTTGTCATGAAATAGTTTGTTCTTGCTAAGTTATTTAAATAATAATATTAAGTTTATTTCAGTAAAAGAATTCGTTTACAGTCATTAGTGGCTAGTGTTCTTTTAAGCACATAATGCCTGTAGCAGGTGACTCAGCTCTTCCATATGTATGTCTATATTTTATATTATATACTTAATAAATATGTATTTCAAAGAATAACTTAAAGACTAAAAGACAGAATTTACATTGTTTATGATATGCGTGCGTGCATGCGTGTGCGTTCGTGTTTGCGAACGTACGTGCGTGCTAAATATAAATAAATGTTATGTAAATATAATGTTATTTTCACATGTGTCAACAGTCTGATATTTCGATACGCAATGCGCACAATTTTAATTGAATTGTGTAGGATCTACATAAAATCTAACTTAATTACTGTTAAAACATATTAATATTTTATTTATTATGACCACATTTTGTTATTTGCCTTAAAATAAATTAAATTGTCCTTTCATAATGGTAGCATGTCATGACAGTGTCATGAATTGGACATTTAGACAGTAAATAAAGCTTATTCTGTACACCCATAGTATTATACATAATTTATTGTAAGGACTTTTAAGAATATTTTAGAATGTTCCTTATTAATAGATTAAAAATTTTTGAAAATAAGAAATATATCAAAGCGTTAAGTTTGAATTTAATAACTGGTTATTGATTATTGCAATTTGCAATTCTAAGTAATAATAATTAGAGGATTTCTACGAGATCGGTGTCGTGTAGGAGGACAAGAAATGATTGTGTGGTGGTGTCAGGTAACGGACTACAAGTACGTGAAGCGCGCTATGGAGGGCCTGTCCAACACGGACATCAAACTGCAGCTGGAGGTGAACGGGCTGGAGGGCCGCCTGGCGCTCAACCTGCCCTCGCCGCCGCACGACAGGCTGTGGATCGGGTAACTTTATATCTTCCTAACTTATTACTCTTAACCAACTGTACTTGTAGAAGACAACATAATATAATAAGTAGTAGTAAGTAAGAGATAGTTTTAGTCACTTTGAGAAACTAATTATAATTAAGTTTTGTTTAAAAAATAATGATAAGAAAGCTAGTTCTTTTCTCGCTCTAAATTTAAGCCATTCAGCAAGGAAACGCAACCAGCTATCTTGGCGCGATACCACGGGGAGTATGACTGTATGATGATTTAAGTTTTCAGTTTTATTTTTCTTTGTTATAGTTTTTTTTTAAATGTAATATTAGTTAATTAATTATCAAGTCATCTCCAAACAGGGTAGAGCCTCGTTGCATCGATGTTATTGCTGTAATACAAATGGGTTGGTTCGTCCGGGGAGGAACACACTGTCACAATATCAGCTAAAATAACTGCCGTGTTTCGTATAATTAATGTTGAGTATCCGAGACCCTTCTTACTGGTAAGGATGCATTCCATCTTAGTCCTCGGGGGTGACGATGCATTCGTATTATGATTCTGTGTATGGGCCACAGCACTTGCTTACCATCAGGTGGACTGAGTGCTCGTTTACTTCTATAAAAAAAAAACTAACAACTTTAGTGAGCAAAACGTAACTTTCGGTATAAGTAGCTTTAGTAGAAAGTTCGTCTAACTGCAACGTTTTTGTAATTGTTAAGTCGAATTAATTTAGTTTATATTTATGTAAGTCAATGAGAGAATCCATTACGATATCTTGTCTCGTGCTCCTAACCTAAACAAGCATCTTTTTGTGATAACTGTGATAATAAAGGCTCCCATTAAAATGGAATATCCACTGCTGGGCGCAGCCCTGGCCCAAGGATCTTACATATTTCACGCTTACAGCAGTACCACACGTCTCGCATCTCAGAGGTTTCCTCCCAACTACGCCCTGTGTCTTCCAGCAGTGCACCTTGTTATATAGTATACCAGAAATGTTCCAATCCATTAATATGGCGTAATTTAAAGTTAGATATTTATTTATTATTGGAACGAAGTTCGATACGAGTTTCGAGTGCGGTACGAATTTGGCGGATGGGGGCTAGGCGAGAAAAACTGTAGGATTTTTTCGTTACGACCCCTTCTGATGTAGTGCAGACGGCCTTGGCGGCTATAAGGAAGCGAGATGGAATAATATCCATCTCCCTCGCACTTTTTCTTATCTTGCCATGAAAGAAATATTATTTTATTTTAAATGACGCTTCATTTTAATAGACATTTGTAATTTATTTATTTATATTTGTTAATCAATAATATAATACGTTTATCAATAATAGTATACTACGAAAGGAACTTCGTTCCAACCGAGTGTTTCACGACACTCACGAATGTTTTTTTTTTATATTAATATCTTAGGTCAAAAATATTATTATAATGGTAAAACATGACGCAGTAGCGGAATGAATCCCACCGGCTACCGGTTCCTACCACAGTTACACGGCACTGCTTTGACCATTTCAGCTAATTCATTGACCTCCTATAGTTTTACTGCAAGTATCCTCATTAAGGATTCTATAACGTAAAAGACTCTCACAGTCTCATTCGCCTCACTCCTCAGACCTCCAATTACTGACAGTTGTTTTAGTTGATGCTAGCCTACCTGTGTACTTAATACAAAATCCATTCTTGCCCTTGCAAGGTCGGATGTACTTTAAGCATTTGGAAGCTTAAATATGTATATATATTTATTCCCGTACAGTTTCCGCACAAACCCACAACTGGCGCTCCGCGCTAGGCCGGCTGTCGGTGCCCGCGCAGTGCGTTTCGCCCACATCACCAACTGGATCGAGCAAAAGCTAACAAAGGAGTTCGAAAAGGTGCTGGTGCTGCCCAATATGGAGGACATCGCGATCGACCTCATGACACCCACGCCCGTGCAGTTTGAATGAACGAGTATCACTAACACCACTTTCCACGATCTAGGCGCAACATCGCTCTTGGACAAAAAGTTTTATAATGTGCAACTTTGCATGTGGATCGATGATCAGGCGCCATTAGTCCAACACGCAAACAACGTTTCCGGTTTTAGACTTCGAGCTATGTCAAAATTTACTTTTGATCTTAATGCTTTATCTTTACATCAGATACGATTTAAATAGGACTGATATCTTTTTGCTTGCGTGTGTCCCTCGCAGTTTAACGTTCAAGGACAATTCATCACAATTTATGTCTGATTAATATACTCTTATTGGACCAATATCAAGTTTAATAGAATGAATAATTAAATGCCATAAATTTTTAACACCAAGTCTCTCATATGCATTAAAAATGCAGCATGTGTAATAGAACATACTAAAAGTTATTAGTTATATTAACATAATATATTATTACTTATATTTAACACAAATGGTATGATTATAACAAACAAAACACACACGCGCGCGCGCGTCCACACACGCACGCGCACGCACACACACACACACACACACACACACACACACACACACACACACACACACACACACACACACACACACACACACACACACACACACACACACACACACCCACACTCACACAAAATAGTCATCACAAAATTAATTCATAGTGATATAAGTGATGTATAGTATCAAATGACTATTAATACATCAGCCACTTTATACAATTAAAAACAAATTTTTGGTGAAATCGTATAGAATGAGTTGTATTTGGTATCACAAAAATGTACAAAGTTGTACTCGTGATTTTATTGTAGTGTTACAGAGAGCACTTCGGCATCTTGAAAATTCGCACATCGAATCCGCATTTATTAAAATAGGCGCACAGACTCCATTTGTGTGTTAATCGCCGTTTTCATGCCACTGTTTGTGCATCTCTGGTATATTATACTAATGATTCATGTTCCTTTAATGCATTAAATACACACAAAAAAAAGAAACTTAAATCATTAATATCACTTGAACATTAGATCACTTACGCTGTTAAAGAAAGTGAAATGTATCCCTGCAGTGAGCTTCGCATTTAATTGTACTGTCAATGAAACTAAGAGGGTAGAGTAGTATAAAATTATAGAATCTGTAATATAGATAATAAAAAAATATACGCTTGTGAAGTGTTATAATAATATGTTATTTAGTTGACAGTCTTTTTAAATTGGAATTTGTATTTGAAACGTTTCTGTTTTTCATTGGAATAACGACTTATGAAGAACCTTTTGAGCGTTCAGTATTATAAGGGGAAAATACCTGTGTTCGTAATTAAAGAATAATATACCTATGCATTATGTTCGAATTAAATGACAAGTAATTTGTACGCATAAAAATATAACCAAAAGACTGTCGCTATAACATCTATTATAACGTGGCGTCAAAAACAAAAAGATATTGTACAAAAATTATGTTATTATATGTAGTAGTGTTTTATTTTTAAATGTTCAAATATTACCTTCGCTATATGTAGATGTAAATCGTATTTACAAATATTTATTTTAATACGATATTGTAGAACGTTGCCTTCATTAGGTATTTAATGGTTATTAATGGTGTTTAATGGTATTTAATGGTATTATTTACAATTATTTAATATTGATTTCGTTAAAGACATTAGAGTTATTATTATTGCTAAATTAAGTTTATTGTATGGAAAAGAATTATCACCATTCAAATTAAGCGATTACACATATGAATTTAATATTAAATTGTCATTTAACAATACCTTATTTTAAATTTGTGCTATAAATTGAGTGTTTCATGGATTGTGTATTTATGTAGTATATTCGCACAAGTTTAAAGTCGTCTTACTTTCACTGCCGCGTGCTTGTTTATTCAATAGAAGTATTACCAATACTTGTATGTATTTATTAAATATTTCCGCAGTTAAAAAGTCTGCAATAAGTCGCATAATATATAAATAAACATTTTTTATTTATATATTATGCGATCATGAAAGAATGTATGATATGTATACGGTTGCTAGAATCTTCAGTGTTGTTATATACATGTATGAATAGTGTAGTAATCGCATATTTAAAGACTCCTTTAAAATATTTGCAGAAAATGTTACTGCTACTTGGAAGTTTTTCTACATACGAATATCTTCAGTGTCCGAGCTTTCTCCTCAGACCAATACAGAAAGAAAAAACCATGTTCTAAAACCTTGTTGTTAATTGCAAATGATTTTAGATGCATATAATATGTGCGTAAGTGCATGTTCATACAATAAGTTGAGCATTTTGGCTTGGTTTCAATGTACCTCGAAATGTACGCAGCACTCGGTCTATCTTTATTTGTTGGTCTGAGGCTTCCTCTAAAATGACAACTATTCCGACAATAAATCCGTGGGAAAGCTGTTTTAATAATCCAATATTTACATAAACGTGAATTTACGAAAAAAATAGGGTTTAACTTTACAACTTTGTTGAAATTTTTAGGAATTATAAATTTAAAGTTTCATCGATTTACCAATTTCTGTTACGAGAAAATCTTGTCGTTTGTCAAAAAACTTAAAAATAAATATTTGATATAAATATTTTCTATTACTTATGTAAGATTATATATGTGGTTAAACTATTTAAAAAAGGTTTTAAACAGACTAAAATATTTTTCACTATCGTAAAGTAATTGTATTCGTTTAAAAAGTGCATTACTTTATAAATAATATTATATTTAAGCTTTTTATATAAATTTCGTAACTATATTTTTTGGGCCGAAACGAAATTTTACGCCATTAAATTATTATTTTTAATCGGCTTCAAAAAAAAAAGGAGGAGTGTACCAGTTCGACTTTTTTTAATTAATAAAGTAATATCGTAATATGATCTCTAAAGTAAGTAAACCGGTTTATTTAGCTGATTTTTAGCGATAGACTGTCATGTTGTGTTCCATATGAATTTCTGTCAAATCCGCTAATAATAATTAAAATCCGGTTACATTATAAATAATTCAATTATTTATATCAGTAGAGGTTTATTAATATTTTGATAAATTCGAAATATGCGTAAAAGAAATATGAAATGTAAGAAGGCTGATCTAAGGCTCATTTTTAATTAATATTATTACTCTATTAAAAATCATTTGGATTTGTAGTAACAAATATTGTTTTGTTTAATTAGACGTCAATTCGCAAATTAATCTGTTTCTAAACTAAATAACCCCGTTTTAGTAAATAATTTATCAAATTGCACACTTAAATTCTTAAATTTGAATACATTTTTAAATCTTCAAAACCTTTGAAAGCTTTTCTCATATTTTATTGTTTTAGCATGGTTTACAGTACGTTCAAACGTTTACGGCTGAGTTCAGCTCATCCATAGATCTCTACATTTTATGTATATCTCTACATAACTAGAGTAATCAAATTAATTCTCTTTGAATTATAATTTGATGTAATAATTAAATTAAGCTAAGTGACGTCGAAAGTTAGACGAATCTATTGCTGTGACAGAAAATTATAGAAAATGCTTTCATAAATTTTAAAAAATTATGAAAATTTCATCTTCGCAAATGCATTAGTAAATAGTACTGTCTTAGCGTTACAAAGACTTATTCACTCTTGCCATGAAGACACCCAGGTTGTAATCGAACGGAAAGACAGACGCCGGCAAATTATTTTACTACTTTGTTGTACGTAATAAGAAAGACGAAGTAAACCACTTGGTTTAAATGCGATGAATATCAAAATAAAGGGGTGATGACCCGCCGACCGCTTGGTTATTCTATGATGGAGAGGGAAGAATTAGTCTCTTGCAAATCTTGCAAAGCCTAGTCAAAGGCCTAGGAGACATCAAAGGCAATGATGATACATTACATGATGGTTAGAGTGAAGTTTTCAGTAAATTATATATGTATTTTATTATTTTATATCGGCGCCATTTAAGACAAACAATTGATATGAAAAAGTTTGTCTTTGGCATATGGTAAGTGCAGTACTTTATTCTCCTGTTCCGTGATTTCAGTACTATTTATATAGTTTTGTACGTTCATATATGGATCCTAAATTGCTCGTATGTTGGTTTAAATTCGCAGTAAAAACCGAATGTCTATTTTATATTTTACTCGATATGTATATTTTTCATCAATCAAATTCACCACAAATTAATTTTTAAAGTATTTATCTGGTACTTATATTATAATATCTCCATCTTTAATATTACAATCGATTTGCCAAAATGTTAATGTTAATTTTAATTACCTTTATAATGCAAATTAAGCATTTGTCTGTATTTCTAAAAAAAAAAAACGGTTGAAAACTGCGAATTAAGTACATATACATTTTTATACAAGAAAAGGTGCCAAACAAATGCAGTCCGCTTAATGGGAAGTGGATGATGTGGCCCATAGACATGAACTATCTATCACTATCCTATATTGTGTATTAGAATACAAAGGTGTGTTGCTACCCATAAGGGCTAAAATAGAATGTCAGGGATAATAGTCATCGGCGATCCGGACACAAGAACATCTCACTATATGAAACAGCAGCATTATGATGCCATTTTATGCCGGTATCCTTTGAATAAATTAATAAGTATGCTTAATCCATTGCTCTGAAAAATAGTTTTATATTAAAATTAACTTTTCTTTGAAGTAAGTATTTTCAAAGTTAAATTTATTTTTAAGAAATGAAAATTTATTTATAGCTGTAAATGTTCGTATATAACTTACATATCACAAACATTTAATTGTACCTATTTAAAAATTTACTATTTTAGTATTCAGTTTTCGTATAGTAATACCTAATGTAAAATATCTATTTACTTTTAAAGAAAAACGTTTCAGTTTGAAATTGCATCACACTTATATTAATGAATAATTGAATGATTTATGTATTTAAAATATTTTTAATATAAAGAATATCTTAATGACTAAATTTAAATACCTTAAAAACACATTCGAGTATTTCTCTCTAAATATACTCTTCTAAAATTTAATATTAATAAGAAAAAAGGGGA